TGCTTCCATCATACCAAACTGAGTCAACGAAATGTAGCTCCCGGCCCAGCATAAGTAAGCGTGCGAGGCCTCTACGCCTCCTGTTCGTTCGATAGAGGTTCTTTCCCAGGAGATCTTCCACCAGCAGCTTCTTCGACAATACTCGCCGGCGCGCCATCCGCCGCCTCCTCCGTATAATAGGTACTCGCGACACCCCAATAGCGAAAGAGGTCGTTGGTACCTCGGGTCGTGGCCCAATATACATATGCGCCTTGGTCGGTATACATCATCTGCTGAGGATCGTATACATAGTAAGTCTCGTCGATGCGGGACCGTGGGAATTTCCCCACGATATATGTGGACGCCACAGGAGCACCCGTGATGTACAAGACGAATCGCAGAATCCAGCTGGGATTCCGGGGGATCGGCCAGATCGAGTACATGTAGTCCATGGTCTTCATTCGGCCCGCCGGGTACACGGTTCGCCTTGCGCGCCCCGAGGACACGGATTCGGCTGACGATGCTGATACCATGGTGGCCCAATAGCTTTATGGTGGTGGGGATGATAATGATGATGATGCTGGTTGGGTATTCAAGAGGATGTTTCGGTTTCAATGTAATAAATGTGCACAAAGGTTGAAGAGTTGTATGGGAGCAGAAGCATCGGCCAGCACGTCGTATTGAAGCATGTATTAATGTAATTTTAACTCGGAACTATCTGGCATGGGAACTTTGCAAACCTGCAACAGCATTGCCGTCATATTAGTAGCTACCCGACACCAACGAAGCACAAGGACCGACAAATGCGCCTTAGCTGTCCACATTCGAATTGACACGACTGCGTATGAGTGACACAGCTTATGTCAAGGTCAAACTGAAGACATATGACAATTGCCGTAGATGATGGCTTGGCACCAGAAAGTTGCGCCGTTTGGGTCCAATGCTCGGGTCATCGTGAGCTTTGGGCGTGGACGGCCAACCCTTCTGCGTCGCCACGGCACACCGTCTCCTGAGATTGGCCCGAGTAGCACCTGGTGTCATTGTGCCATGTCGCCATTCTTCATTCGTGTCGAACCATAAACGAGCGGCCGTTGAACGCCCAGCACGTTGGATCGTGGACATGCCATTCATAACCCACACTTGTCGGGTCGAAGCGATGGAATTTGCGGCCGTCGGGCAGAGACGACCAATGGCCGTCTTTCGCTTATTTGGACGGCCTGGAATACAGATCCGTAGGGCATCTTCAATCGATTGATGTCAGGGACGAGAATAACCGGGCAAACGAGCACGGCAAAGTCGTGAATACACCAATTGGACGCAGGATATGGCATACTCTGTGTGTCGTCGATGATTGCATGGGGACCGACCAAGAGCTTCATCAAACATGTCTGTAGTCACTACGAGAGCCGACAGTGGCCCGACACCCAAGGATAATAATACATTCACTGTAAACGTGTTTCTTTTCCGTCGTTCGTCGTTGTATCTCGATGCTGACTCTTGCAGTTTGTGGGCTGTCAATAACGAGCTGGACAGGCGGATCGTATGCCGTGAAGATGCAGTCGCCAAAAAGTCAGCAACTGGCCATCAGCACGGACTGGTGTTTCTCCCATCATCCAAGAGTATCCACGTGCCACGGCAGCATAGCCATCACTCAAATCTGTTAAACCTTTATCTCGGGTATTACGGCAGAATCGCCAAGAGCCAACGAAAGGCCAGGAGTCATCTCAGGCTCTGTAAAGTACTAGCAGTACGGTCACCGTCGTTCATCACCAAGGATTACTAGGATGCGCGTATGGATAATTTTAGAGTCATGCCATAGCCGCGCGTGTGTTCATCTTGCCGTTGACCTGAAACGTTGTTGTGCCGTCAACGTCTCCGGTTTAGTGTTGGCAGTCCATCTTCTCCATGTTTCATTGTCACGAGAGAGGCTCAATGAAACGGGAATGATTTTGACTGGGATTGTTATTGAAGCATTCCGCGTATGCTCAGCTAATAGGGGATAAAGATATCCCTTCATCAAGGCTGCTGGCTTGATCTCCTGGAGTCGGCGAACCCACTCGCACCCAAGAAAGACGCGAGCGAAGCCAATTAACAAACATGGGGAAAACCCTCTTTCAACACGTGTCGCTCTTCGCATTCTTGTACCGACACCGTGCTCGATCCAAGGCCCGACCGCCAGGCCGTGTGCAAACCGGAAGGCGGTTCTTGTGGTCATAGTCGAACACTGCAATGCCGAAACATGTGCATTCACGGGCATTATCACCTCAGGGGAACCCTCCAGGGACTACGATGTGGACTACTCCGCACATTAGTACGTAGTAGGCAAACAAATGCCAGACATGCTGGCTGGCCACATCAGCGATCGGTCCTAGTCCTAGTCCTGGTCTGTCGCAACCCAACCTCGTGCCTCGGCTTGGCGACCTCTTGGCAGACGGGAAATGGCCAAGGGCATATGTACAAGTACTACTAATAACAATGGCGAATGACGTGGTTGAGTGGTTAGCAATACAGTATCTGTTGAGTTTTTTCTTGGCGAGCGGATGCCACAGTCGCGGAGCCAGGGGACAGAGTCTGGAGATTCGAAGCAAAACCTGCCGATGCCTGGGGAAGTTAGGACCGGGATCATCGTGAGGGAGGCTACTCCGTAGTCGTAGTATTGCTATTGCTGAGCCGGCCTTGTTGTGGGAATGCCTTGTGCGACCCATTTCAAGGAACCAGATCGCTGAAATCTGGGGAAATGGGTTGATTTGTCCAGTTGCCCCATGCCGCGCGACCATTACGATAGATGATATGTACTAGTAGTAGTACTACATATACTAGTAATAGCACAGGGTATGATACTATGTATCCTAGAGTATTTTGTTCCATTTGCAGTGCCGCAGCCAAAGAAGAAGGTTGAAGTTTCAGCCCACTGAACCGAGGAGGGCGCTTTTTGGGCCGACAAGCATCTGAACGGCGGGACGGATTACGACACGGGCCCTCGAGATTTGCACCCTTCGCGCTGGGCTTCAAGTACGGAGTACTAGTACTGTACATGCATTTGTTTTCATGGAGCTGGTAGCCAGGGGTCTGGCTTTTGGGTTCAACGGATTTAAGCATCCGTTTGTTTGTGCCTGGAGCACTCGGTCGGATGCTGCTTCGCTCATTGCCTTCTCCCGGGATGTGGAGCTTGATAGAGAGTCGGCATTGCTTCAGTTGCCCGTTAAGTCTTTTGGACCCGTATTGTAGTAGTACGATAAGAGATTTCGCTGAAAGTGGAGAGGGTTGCATCAAGACAGAGACCACGGCGGAGAGAGGGGATCGAAACTCGATCGAGGTGCCGCGTTTGTTGCTTGATACAACCCAAGGCCGTTGTGCAATAAATAGTCTGGAATACGGAGCACAGAGAGGAGCCTGTAAGCTGGGCCTTACGACTCCCATCCAAAGCGGACCGTCACATCTCAACTTGAACAGGTTTCAGCCAATGCAGTCAATGTTGGAGCAAGGCCTCGACCAGTATGGGATCATGCAAATTAGCCCATAGAGTGGTTTATCATGTCCCGTCGCCATCGACCTCTCTCGCCCGTTCCATTGTCATCACCTTCCTGAAAAAGGATGACTGGCAACGCCGTCCGGTCTGTTCGTCCCGCGCAATGGCACATCTTGTGAGGTTGCCGTTCGGGGACATGGCAATGTCCAAGGAGTACTTTGTAGAACCACACCGCAGTGCCTGTGTGTTTGTCTGCCCAACTCTGTAAGCAGTCAGCCAGTGTGTCGCCTTTCCCCCTCCTTTTTCACGGCAAGAGACATCTCAGCGTGTTTTGGGGCCTACACACTCCGTACTCCCCAACTCCGTAACCTTCTCTGTGCTGTATGTACAATACGACACTGTCTATCGTCTCACATCAGCGCCAGTGAAACGGTCCCGTCTGGCGCGCAGAATCCGAACGTATCCGTTCCACCACTCGAGAGTCGACAAAGGAGAGGTGGATCTGGCGGTTGAGAAAAGTGGCCCGTCTAATCCTTGCTGCTGGTGCCGTGTTGTGCTTTGGTCCTCCGCCTCTCTTCCAGGGCTCCTCGCCTTTTCGTCTCCTTGTCCAGCGGCCAAGGCCTGCCGGTTGGCCTGCCAAGGTTCCGACGGGCATCTGGCAATTGCCCCGTCAGGCCAGGCCAGCACTCGGATCTTGGATCATTGAGACAAAAGTGGACGGCTGCATGCTGTTGCGCAAGTGACTGGCTGACCGACGACAGGAAATCGAATCCCGAGCAAGCAGACTTTGGAAAGGCCCCCTCTGGCCCCAGCTGTGCATGACCGCTAGCCAATGGCGTCGTCCTCCTCGTACCCGTTTTCTCCGCCCCCCCTTGCTTGCCATGCCTCTCACGGTCCTGCTCCATCTCCAACACGGGCTCTGCCCACTTCTTGCCAGGTTCCCGAAACGAACACCCACCTCAGTCCCCCGTCGTTAGTTCTGGATTGGTGTTTGTTCGGCGCTGGCTCTGGACCTGACGGTGGTAGTGGTAGTGATACTCTGGTGCATTCAGCCAAGCGCACCGCCATGGCGCCAGCCAGCAAACGGTCTGCTCCGCCTCCCCCCAAGTCCCGTTCCATCTCGGTGATGCTCAGAGAACGTTTGTCACTGCCATCACCACGCACCCAGAGTTCTCACAACGAAACAAAAAACGTCCGCGGTGTCTTCCACATAGACGGCTTCTCGATTCCATCAGTCACTATCGCCGGCTTGGCTGTTTGATGTATTTGTGGACTCAATAACTCAATACACGACTACCGTCTTGCCTGGATTGAGTCGACTCGACCCCGACCGACCACGACGGAATCGAATTGTTCTTCATCTTCGATCAGCACGGCGTCAGCGTCGAGCGTCGACGGCCCTACCTGGTGACAGCTTAGGCGGGCACGAAGCGGCGCTGCTTCTTGCGGCTCTCTCGTGACTCCGTCACCAGCCGATGCCAAAGGCTGAGCGCCGTTTATCCGACTGCATTGCAAGACGACGCAAAGCCAACGTCCAATTCCCATTGTAATAATGCCTTCTACCGATAGGAACTCAACGTCAGAGAGGTCGGAGAGGAGGGCATCAACAAGGAGATCAAGACGAGTGTCGGCAGAAAATGCGCTCGGCGACTATGAATACGATTTGGCGACACACGCCGTCTCTGACGGTTTCCGCCCGGCAGTCAACAACCCGCCAGCTGTACCGAATCTGAACTCGCCTCCATCACCGCCGGCAAGTCGATTTCATTTGCCCAGACTTCCTCGGTCACCTCCACCCGTTGCGCCCAGCCCGATGAAGGGGTTTGCAGATTTCAACCGACCGTCAAGCACGTCCAAACCTCCACGCTTTCACGATTCCTTGACCCTTCGAAATGACGGGCTGGAGTCCGCTCGTGTAGGACAGTCATCTTCGTCGAGCAGCCCAGTGCAAGGCGATATTCTATATCAGGGCTCCACGCCGCCGTCTCATCCCTATCAGATGTATCCCCAGAGGACGTACAGTAATGCTACCTCCTCTACCGCCCCTTCCTCAGAGACACTTGATGGAACCCGCGGTCCCACTCACCCATACGCTCTCTACACCCAGAGCACTACTACTTCCGAGGATCCAACTCAGCAGCGCATTCCCGTAGGCTTCAATGGCATGGGAAACGGCTACCGCAGGCAAATTGGGCCTGATGGTGAGGATGCAGGTGACTTGATCGGGCCGCTCGGTCACATGGAAGAGCTCCCACCATATTCACGCTATCCTGAAGAACCCTTTCAACATAAACCAGCAGCTGATTGCGACAACACTGTCTCAGCTGCCAATGCTACCGATGGGGCTGGTGCTAGAACGAATGGATTAACAACTTCAACCCCGGCTCAGCCTATTCCCGGTGCTGGTGGAATTGGTCTTGCGACTCGGAACCCCGAGTTCTCCTCCACAGAAGACCTGGCTGGTATGCCTCGAGGAGCCGGATCCTCGATCCGCAGTAGGACTTCTCTGGAGAGCTATCACGAAATTAATGGTGCAGCCCGCGATTTTGCAGAAAAGCCAACCCTGAGCAAGTGGCAACGGAGGGCAAAAAAGAAGCTGTGGGGCGTTGTGCCGTGCTGGACAATATGCCTGTTACTCGCTGGAATTGTTATCATGGGAGTGGTGATGGGTACTGTAGTTGGGACTATTGTGACCAGACACAATACCTCTCCCAAGGGTAAAGGGTAAGTCAACAATCCGTATTTTGCTCCTCCGCATTGGTTTGCGGTATTAACTCGCTTGTTCCAGACAATCCGATAAGAATCAACCGAACACGAATAATGTTGTATTTCTGGAGCACCTGCCACAGGATTTGCCTCCCCTGGCAACAGGTTGTTTTTCCCTTCCGCCAATGGACAAGTATAACGTGCCAAAGGCTTGTATCAAGGGTTTTGAGCAGAACGCCGCTTGGAATTGTGATATGCCTTTCCGCTGGTACTCGATGAACGTTACCGAACTTGCTGGTGCGGCGGATGTCTCCAACTATGCCATGAAATTTAGGCCTTTTGATCCCAAGGCCTCTAAATTCATCTACGGAACCCAGCCCCCGAACGTTCCTGACTTCGAGCCCATGCGGCTGGTAAAGGACACGGAAGAAGTCAACCGAGGCCCGGCTTGGTTTCTTGAAGTGAAATACAACAAGACGGTCATGGTTCGGGAAGATCAGCTCGCACTTCCTAGTCCGTCGGGCCCTCAGCGGCGTTGGGATCACATGAAAGGACCATTCCCTGGCCTGGATAACTCTCGCTTCTCGAGAAAGGGACTGGCGGCCACGGAAGGCGACAAGCCATGGATCTGCACTTGGCCAAACGTTACACTTCAGGTCTTCGTGTACCCGAACCAGACATTCACACCACCGAAACCTACCTCAACACCCAGCTCGATCTCTTCAATGCCTAGCCCGTTCTCTCCTGCTGCACCGACACCGACACCGGATGAGCCACCACTGCCCAAATTTAAGGAACCATATCCCAAACTGGTCAAATTTGTGGAGAGCCGCTCATACAATAACGGCGACTACGCTCCAGCAACGTGTACGCAATACAGAATCACCAGTGATGGTCAGGATAAAGAACCTGTTCTTGAGAATGGAATGCCTGTAGCCTTCATAGTCGAAGAAGTGGGCAAACCTGCCAAGGGGCCTATCACGCAGCGTGTCAGTGACCCAGTTCCTAGGGATATATTCTCCCTAGAGGGTAGAGGCGCGGACGTTACCCCCTGTAGCTGCATTTCATTCTCATGGTCTGTATAGTCAGTAGAGGAGATGTGAGATGGGATTTATTTGCACTTAATTAGCGATGGCTTGGTTATGTCGATATTTGACAAAACTTATAGGAGTATATACTGGATATCTAGATGGCTTTGTTACCATGGGTGGATGGATGCATTAACGGCGTTTGTGTGGGACTCGACTTTTTGTTATGCTCGTTGCGATTAGTTGCTACGAGGTACGATACTACTCTATTTTACCATGTATTTTTCAAATCATCTGCACGTCTTCACGTCACTCTTTACGCGGGAGGAATTGCCGGCTGCGATTTTAATCGAACTAGTCTGATCGATCTCATTCCCGGCCGTCGACGGTTCCTCCTTATTCATATTGACGGCACCAGCGTTACTATCGGTTCGGACTCACAAAACTGTATTACCGGTTTTTTTTTTTTTTTTTTTGCACCTTTTCGCGACTTGCTTTCTTTTTGCTACCAACGGAGGATCAAATGCTTTGGACTACTCTCTACTTGTATCTAGATCGGATGTGGGCGGATTTATTCAAGTGAATGAAATGTTTGATGGAATTGGACTATACGAGAGCACTGTGGTTAATTATAGCAGGAGACAAGAAGAGATGGAGGGTATTATTGAGAGGCGACTTTTATAGGATGCATAGTAATGAGGCGAAGATAAGAACAATGCATACGATTCTTACATTAACATGACACAGTCTCTTTGATTTCTTTTATTCGTGATACTGAAGTATATGTCTGACTATCTGTATACGCTGTAGAGTCTCGACTTTCGGAGCTCCGGCTACCTAGATACGCACGACTTGACCTGTCCCTGCTGGCACTTTTCAAAACTATGATGATTCTGGTCTATGTGTGTTGTTATTGGCCCCCATGTATGGAGTAGCATGCATGCATATTATTGAGGCCTTTTCCTGTTCGGACTCTTAGGCAGATCGACAAACAGTGCCCCGGGCCAGGCTGACTGGGGGTCCGAGGAGGCAGGCAGGAACAAAAGGAAGTAAAATAAGCCTTCAATAAAATGCCGTCTCGGCCAGATGCCGAGCACAACACATGAGTGGCTTGACATGACGCATGGCCTGCAATGTATTGGGATGGATGAAGGGCATCTCGATTGGAGCGGCATCCACAGCTAAGGCCGAGTGATATATGCTTGTTTTGCGGTGTGTTTGAGACTGGCCCGAAGCCACATGCAGTCATGTCGTTGGCTGCTGGTGGTCCGACGGCTGCTCTTCATCCTGCATTGCGCGGATCTCATTGTCGACAATGTCCTTCCGACCATCTCGGAAGTCCCGCATGAGAGATAAAAATACCGAGTTTTGCCACTTTTCGCCGTTTTCATGCTGCACTGATTCGAGGAGGCGCTCTGCTGCTTCCGAGACGGCAGATTTCCCTTTAGCTGCGGCCTCGTCGTGGATTACTTGTTCTACTTCGGCCGCCGGGAGGTGGTCTACCTCCCGCTCTTGGAGCGATAAGTTGCCAATCTCAGGTGTTTCAAGATCTGTGTAGCGTGAACTCGATTCTACTTGTAGGATTTCTTGGGGAGCCGTAGATTCCGCCTGGGCAGGAAGAGTCGCTTCGTTGAGTTCAAGCTCGCGGGCCATTTGCTCCATTACAGCGTCGACTTCGGACATGTTTCCACCACCGTGGTTGGACATCCATTGGGACATTTCTTTGTCGAAATCAGCTTCAACGGGGGCTTGGGGTCCCATGAAACCAGCTGCGCCGGGACCATACATGGGGCCTCCGAATGCTTGGCCAAAGGCGGACTGGAAATTCATTTGCATCGGGTGTTGATTCATTTGCATAGGCAGTGAGGGAGCGGTGGTTGGAGGAGAGCGCATCTGTTGGCTGGAGAAGCGATTGAAGTCGGCTGCCCAGTTGCTCACGTCAGATACAGGGGATGCTCTGGCTTGTTGCGATAGCTCCGGATGGTGCAACGGTGCGACAGGTTGTTGAAGAGCAGCGGCGTGGACGGCTAGGCGATTCGCTGGGTCATGAGACATGCCGGGGATGGTGGATGGTGTTGCGTCCATGAAGGCGCCGAAGCTGTCTTGTCCTGGGGATTCGTGACGAACAGATCGGAAGGACTGGAGGCATAGATATTAGTACCCGATCCATGAACATGAGGAAGCACAAGAGGCGAAACATACACCGTGAGGCTGGCCGGCGGAACGGTCGACTAGGCGATCCTGGTGATGGCTGACATCTCGGGACTGGTGGTCTACGAGGCGCTTGAATGGCGACGGCCCACTACATGAAGCGTCCGCCATGGTGGAAAGTATGCGTTTGCGACTTGAGAGCACTCGAGGTGTCTGGTAGGAAGAATGCGATGGCAAGGTACACGAGCAGAGCGACAGCTGGACAGTGACGAGATGCCTCGGTGCAATGGTGGAGCGGGCCGATGGAGCGGCGACGGCGATCTCGACTGTAAGACGACGAGGGAAACGGTACAGTTACTGCTGCAGCATGACCGTCGTATGGCAAAGCAGAGCCAGTGGACACTATTGCAATACAGAAAGGATGAATCGTGTGTTGCTGGTGATTTGAAATGAAGAACCTAAGTGGTGGCCGAGGGGCGCCACCCACGGAAACATGGGGAACATTCGTCCTGCGGCGTCGGCGTCGGCGACTTGCCTGGGCCTGTGATCGCGGGTAGTTGCTGCCTCTTTCGGTAGCTTCCGAGGTTCGAAGCTGACACGGAGGAACCAGTTCAAGTGGCCCCCGGCTTTTATTGCCCCAGATTTTTTCTCGCTGCATCGTCTGTTGCCGGCGGTCATGTCTAGATCGGGCAACCAAATGTTCTCGATGCTTGCTCATAATAATGAACTGAATGACACGGGGCTGTTGAGCATTCATTTAATTTCTGTATTTCCTTCGCTATGAGTTTGAATGTTGTCAGCTACCCCAACCTGAGTTTAGAATGTTATGTGGATGCCAACGGGCTCTGAAACAGCAGTATATTCCTTGATAATAATTGGATTCATTTTTTTATTGATTCGCATTTTTTTCAGCCTGTAGGAAGCTGGCTTCCTGTTCTTACAATTGGTGTCTCGATATTATGAGCTATCAATGAATTCCAAGATATTCCAGAGCACTCCGTACGGCGCTAATAGATGGGCCTCAGCGGGGTACTTAATCACGTGAAGCGCACAGCAACAAAGTGGGTTGCGGACAGTTGGCCTGGTGCCGCAGACAGCCAGCCAGATAGGAGAGGCCCACAGGCACCAGCTACTGTTCATCCACCACGAGCTAGACTGTTGATGCAAGACCGTGTCCTTTCCGCATCACGACATTTGCCTTTCCTATTTTATCTTGCCTACGCACCTTTCCTTTCTCTCCATTGTGCATCGGCGTCGATAATTTGACGCTCTAATATATCAGAATGGTATTTCACGCCACTTCCCCGCATGCTACAAGCTCCAAGCATCGATGCTGAGCTGCCCTAGTTTGATCCTTACTAGCTATACTAACATCAACTGGTACAGGCGGCGCAAGTCATTGCCAACTCTGGTCACGATGACATGATTGTATGGTTTCTTTGATCCCTATATCTTTTTTCAGGTTTCAGCAGCGCTCTGATAACTTACTGCTTGTCGACGTGCCGCGTGCGCAAACTTGGTCCTGGTCGTCAACCGAGAAACTAACCGTTCTTTGATAGCACGATGCCGTCCTCGACTATTACGGTCGCAAGCTTGCCACGTGCTCGAGTGACCGCACCATCAAGATTTTCGAAATCGACGGCGAGTCGCAGCGGTTGATCGAGACTTTGAAAGGGTACGATTGGCCCTGAACGGACGAGCTGCGACTGCCTGCTGCGCGAGAAATATGGGCTAACATATCTGTGTCGAATTTTAGCCACGAAGGTGCTGTCTGGTGCGTGTCTTGGGCGCATCCTAAATACGGTAACATCCTCGCATCGGCGGGATACGACGGCAAGGTATTCATCTGGAAGGAGCAAGGCCAAAACAACCAGTGGCAAAGAATCTACGACTTCCCCCTACATAAGGCTTCCGTCAACGTGGTCTCCTGGTCTCCCCATGAAGCCGGTTGCCTCCTCGCCACCGCTTCGTCCGACGGCAATGTGAGCGTTCTCGAGTTCAAGGACACGGCCGTCGATCACGCCACGTTCCCTGCCCACGGCCTAGGGGTCAACTCAGTTTCGTGGGCTCCTGCTACTAGCCCCGGTAGCATTGTCAGTAGTTCTCCTGGACCCGGCTCCGTTGGCAACCGACGATTCGTCACAGGTGGCTCCGACAATGTCCTCAAGATTTGGTCATTCGATCCCGCCTCGCAATCATACAAGCAGGAGGGCGAGCCTCTGACTGGCCACACCGATTGGGTCCGGGACGTTGCCTGGTCACCTACGGTCTTGCAAAAATCGTACATTGCTTCGGCTTCCCAAGACAAGACAGTGCGTATTTGGACGTCAGACCCCTCCAGTAACGGCCAATGGGACTCCAAGGTCCTGAACTTTGATGCACCTGTCTGGCGAGTCAGCTGGTCTCTGAGCGGAAATGTCCTGGCAGTTAGTGGCGCGGACAACAAGGTCTCATTATGGAAGGAGAACCTGCGGGGCGAGTGGGAGTGTGTCAAGTCGATTGAGGAGTAGCTGATAAAATATTGGCCCAGGATGGGCTCGGGTTGTACGGCGGAGATGAAGAAGAAAGGCAGCCAGATGGACTTTTACTTTGAGGCAGATTGCGCAAGGCGTTTCAAGGTAGAAATGATGAAGAGCCCAGTAATATGCTGCGCATGATCACCACCTCACCTTATTCCCTGTTCCAAAGCTGTTTGTTCTGTGTGCGTCGCTCGGTACTGTTTACTTGACACTGATTGTGGACACAGAGCAGTGAAAGCGCCAGGCCAAAATAAGTCAAAGTGTTTAACGCTGCATATATTTCTATACATTGTCTACCTGGTTCCAGGCAAAATATGCCGGCAAACCGCCCGAGTAGCAAAGGCTAACATCTCCAAGTGCCGATTCCATCCAGTCGTCATATACCCATGGCTTTTTTTTCTGGAGAGGATATGTAATTTTCATAAGTCATGACCGTCTTGACAGCCATCAGGCCCACGCCTCATCTATGCCAAAAACAACCCGGCCACAATGGCGGCCAAAACCACCGCCCAGGCCGCCGCCTTGTCTGCCACGAGCGAAGGCGAGCCGGTGCTGCCGCCTCCACCGCTCGACGTGCCGTTTTGATGCAGAACAAATATCTCGCCCGTGCTGTCGGAGCTGAACCACAGACGGCCCTGGGAATCCCATGCCAGGCCGACGGGCCGGAAACATGCATCGGGGCACTTTGCCAGGTCTGGTGTGGACAGGACATCCACGGCGGCATCGGTTGACGACTTTTGGGCCGAGGGTTCGCCTTTGGAGGTGTCGAAGGCTACGGATGAGATGCGGTAGCCGACGGGGTTCGTGGTGGCCCCTGTTTTTGTTTCACACGGTTAGATGACGGTGAGGAAGAGCGCTACAGGGCGGGAGAGAGAGAGAGCGAGAGAGAGAGCGGCTCGACTTACAGCTTCCGTGGAAAGATATAAAGGCTTTGGCGCCGTCCTTGGTGAACTTGATGTCGAGAGGCGCGGCGTGTGCCTGCAAGGCCAGTCTCGGCGCAACATAGTCCTTGGCGCAGGTTGCGTCGGTAAAGGTCTCGGCGTCCGGGCCGGGGAACTGGTCGCCGGGCTTGAGACCGCCCAGGTCCGGAAAGCCAGTCGTGTTCCAGAGCGCATAGCACATTGGGAAGCCGTAGTTGCCGCCGCGGTCCTTGTCGGTCGAGGGATCGTCCAGCACGCCGTGGTAGTTGAGCTCCTCGCCGGGGTTGCCGGCGTGGATGTCCCTGCCGTTCCTCGCCAGCTCGTCGACCGAGTTCTCGACGGACCAGATGCCCCCCGTTGCGGGATCCTCGGCGACGCCAACCGAGTTGCGAAGCCCCGAGCCGAGCAGGACGCCGTCCATAAAGTCGTGCGGCTCGCTGCCTTTGCGCTGGGACGAGACGTCAAAAGCGCGGATTTGGGCGTGCCCGGAGTTGGGGTTGCGCGCCTTGTTGTCCTGGTCGTTGACGGTGCCGCGCGACACGACAAGCATGCCCGGCCTCCTCTGGGACATGAGCAGGGTGCGGGTGGTCTTGTCCGTGTCGCTCATGTTGGCGACGACGGTGTAGTTGGTGTCGCTGACGGTGGCGGCCTTGCTGTCGTACGTCCAGGCGTATACCCTCGACGAGGAAGATGCGTAGAGGACCTTGCCGTCGTTGGAGAGCGCCAGGCCATGGTTTAGCTACGGACCGGACGGACGGGCCTCATTGTTAGTATCAAGCTCCTGAGGCGGTGGTTGCCTGTCGCACCGCAAGACGGGGAAATCAGACGACGAGAATGCAAAGCTCACCTCGGTGCTGTTGACAAGAGTCTTGGGCGAGCTCATAACCACACACGTCTCCCCTTTATCCTGGTCAACCGTCAATCTATACAGGCCAACGCCGGCGTCCACAACCAGCAGGCCGCCATTGTCGTCGAAAACAATGCTCCGGGGCTTCTTGAAGCCCTTGGCAACGAGTCTATATGTCCAACCCTTGGCTGCCACGGGGGCTGGATACGACACGGCCAGGGTGTTTGGACAGCCGGAAACATCCCGGCTGCCTAGTATGCTGGGTATAAATTGTGCTGTCGCCGAGGCAGCCCAGACAGCGACGAGTGCTGATCGGAGGGACATGGCCGTAAACGGTGGTCCAGACGATGATCGCAAATGAAGCACATGGACCTGGACGTGCTACTTTCGCAAAGTGGGGGAAGCAACAAGATTGAAGCGTCTGAGTGGATTCAATATTCCCAATATTTCCCTACGGCAAGCTGCAATGTCTTGGTCTAAATTGGTTGAGCTAGCACCACATGTAGCACATGGAAAAAATATGCCAAGGACATGCATGGATTGCCCGCTCGAGAGCCCCATCCCATTTCAGCTGAAATAACTAACACTCTCACAGAGACTGAACTGAGCCGACACCACTAAAACAAAAACATGCGAATTGGTCAAGTGTCTTCTCCAGACCAAGTACAGCTAAGAGCCGTGCTTCCTGCTACTCGATACACTGCTGTCTGCACTCATGTACTCAAAGAAGCCAACACCATGACTGCATCAATTCTCTTTAGTATAAACCCCTTCCTAGTGACGGCCGTCTAGTTTGCCTTCATTGTCTTGAATAGTCTTAAATGTCCAATGACAAAAAAAAATGACAGAAAAGAAAAGGGGGTAATCTGCATACATGTTGCTTGATGACCAAAAAAAAGGGGAGCATGGGAAAAGTGCAAACCCCAAGAAAAATAGGAAACAAAAAATAGGAAAAGAGTGAGTGAGAGACAAAGCAACCTTATTATGCGGATTGCCTGGGTTCAGAAGTTGCACCATTCCGGATGACGCCTGCAAACGTAAACAAACCAAACTACATCAACCGCACAAACAAGTGCTACGCTTTGTATAGGCCTTCTTCATATTGGCCTCGCTTTTTCACAACTCGGTTTCAACACCAATTGCCACGACCACACAATTACCTTAGCGGAGTCCAATCACGCTCATCTCCAATGTCCAAACGCGGCGAATCCAGACTTTGAGCTTACCTTGAACGCCATCTACGTTGTCCAACTCGACGCCCTCCCACCAGCATCTTCTCGCAGGTTTCCTCCAGAACAGCAGCAGTTTCTGTGCCATGCCGACGGCATTCGTTCCCATGTCGTTTCCCCTAATATCGCTGCGCAGCCGTGCCAATGCCAGACTGCAAATGACGGCCTTGTTTGGCTCCCCAGCTCGATGGCCCCATGTGTCATCGTGATTGAACCCACTAGTGGCTACTCGTTAGCAACGGACAAAGCATATGAAACAGTTTCATCATTCACTTACCCTGCTGTCAGCATTTCGATAAGATGCGCCTCCGTCGTGCCAGGTTCATCGCTACGCTTTAATCCTGAAAAGATGCCGTCTTGCCGCTGCAATGCTTTGGCAGCCGCACGCTTAACCTCAATCATATCTGGCTGGCTAATATTCGCTTGCGGAGGGATAACGTAAAAATCCAAGTCTTCTCTCAAAACGATAATGCCTGCTCTCTTAGATGAATCGTCTCGTGACCCAAGGGGTTCTACAGACATAGCATCTCCATCCTGCGATGCACCAGGCGAAGATTCGGCGGGTATCGTCTGGGCCACGTTTCTAAAAAAGTCCAACATGTACTGCAATGACACCGGATCATACTATAGATAGGGTTAGCCCCAGTGGCAATTTTTGCTAGACCGAAGCCACTCACATCGACTTGCACGGCATCATTCTCAGAAAAACCGGTCATATGCCCCTCTGGAAACAAGCCATTCGGAAACAGGGATAGCAGAACAAACTCTGGCAGTGTCAAAAGTTCGTCTCGTGAGAGGACAAATCTGGTACCACTGTAGCCACCGGTTAGCACGGCGTGATAGCCTAGGCCCTGGTGAACGCATGACTTACCGAAGGTCCATTGCGATTGTCTCGTCAGCCCCGACATCTAAACAAAAAGAGTCAACATTGTCTTAAAAAACCACACATGACATCACTTCTCACCTCCAATCGCATTGATGGGTGGCCCCCCTTGTTGGACCTGAGTAATGATACTCGCAGCGCCTCCTGCGGCCGACATGACGTATGTGAATGCGTGAAGAGGACTGTCGCCCTCTGAGTACGCGGGAGGTGGTTCTGCGTCTTCGTCCTTACGACCAGGCTCTGCCTTTGTATCCTGGGGAAGAGCTCGTTTGGTTTCCTCGACGGGATCGTAGAAAGCTCTTGCGGATGTCCCGTCAGGCTGGAAGGGTGACGATTCGAGCGGTGGGCAGCTGGAATAGGCAGGAGCAGCTACGGACCCAGATGCACAGGCTTCTGTTGATGCGGCGCCAACAACCTTGCTAGACGATTCACCAGTGGTGTCGATGAGCGGCGCAAAGAGCGAGGAGAAGGGTGGAGGGCGAGAGGAAGAGGACGCCTCCGAGGCGGGATATTGCGGCGGAGGGGACTGTTCGGTTTCGTTCTCCGTAGTGGCTGCAGTAACGTCGTCGTGATCTTGTGAAAATTTGTCGTGTTCGTGCTCAGGATGCACTACTCGCTCAGCAAACTCCAACTTGGAGGACACAGAAGGCCCGGTAGCTGCGTCCTGTGACTCGGACAATGTGGCGGATTGATCGCGAATACCGGGCGTCACGGTCCGAGATGAGTGAAAAGCGCGCCGAATCGATTGAGCGGCGTCAAAAGTACTGGCTTCGATTTGTGCGACCCGAACGCCAGGATCGTCTCTGAGAGTAGGGGAGGAGGTTACTTTTGGACGATTCGAGTGGGCTACTAACGGTGCTTGGGCAGACTTGAGGACAGCATCGGGCCGGACGTGGCGTGAAGGATCGAGAGAATCCACGTGTAAAATTGTTGTAAATGGTAGAATGTTGAATTATCGGATGCAATGCCTTCAATATACCGGTGTAACGTGTCGGCAAAGACAGGTTTGATGATGTCTGGTGCTATGAGGATTGCTCGGCCAGGATGTGAAGGGGTGGCCCAAGGTGTGGCTGGGTGTGTGAATGGGCGGTTGTGGTTGGTGATTTGCCGTAGGTGACAACATTCAATGTTACTGGGAGCAGCCCCAGCCCCTTGATTGGGGGAAGGCGCGGTCCTCGACCCCAATAATAGACAGGGTGAACCACTAAGCTTGTGCGGTGGAATCCCAGCGCTTAGCTCCATCTACTTAAGCATTATGGAGTACTCCGTAGGACATGGAGCATTAGGCCAGAGGAGCAAGACATGGACGGACATGGAAGGGGCGACCAACTGACCCCCGTGCCTCGGCCACTTTTCAGATTGATCTGCTCAGCCAGCCTCCGACATGACCAAGACTCATCATCAATGCAACACAGAGATGAAAATGCAACCCATTTTGAGGCCTTCCTGGCGAGCCAACTGGATTCTGTGTGATACGCTGACTGCAGGATCGCCCGCCAGAGGTGCATGTACAACCGCACAATCCAGACTTGACGTCAACAGAAGCAAATTCTGGCCACAGCATCGACTACGTGACTACTCGGCAGAGGACACTGAGGCATGCTGGAATCCACGGAGATGGGAGAGCAAGTTATGACAACGGCCCCGAGACGGCAACATTTCGCAAGCTGACTGAGCCGATATGGTGAGATCTGGCGTCCTGTCGAGACTGGCACTCTCCTGCGGCAGTCGTGAGACCTCCTCAGAAGCACGGAAACGCCCAACTTTAGGGAAACCCTAACTGTGACGGCGGCGGATACAAGTTACACACATGTGCCATACGTGAAGAGTGGCCGAGTTTTGTTTTGCGTGTTAAAATACCCCGCGATGAGGCACTAGTCCTCCCCAGATCACCTGAGACACTAAGCCTTTGTGAATTGTCCTGCTCTCCGCGAAGAGACTTTATATTGTTTTAGTGCCAGTCTCAACTCCTTGAAGCCAATGGCGCCTTTCACATATCTGTTTCCTGGTTTGAGAGCAGCCAGGTCATGCGCTTTACGGCATGGCATGTTGCCGTATCAGGATGCCCTCGGCTGCGAGTCTCTTCCTTAGGAGCCTTGCAAGCCCAGATGGGTTCATGGTGAGTTTGACTACAAACATGGCGGTATTACCATTCTCAAGGGGCTTCATCTTGGCAGTTTCACAATGGGGTTTTACCGTCACATTATTTAATATGACGGCTGCGTATAATAACACACATGCCTGGTCTGTTCCAGTGGTTGCCTTTGCAGTCTACGCAAACCGAGCATGTTCACTCTTTAATACAATAACCCTCTTTTACTCATCATCAATAATACCATATTTATATTAAGGTTTCTTCAACCTGTGTTTTATTTTCGGCCGCACAAACTCCACGACTAACTTGCTCTGTGTACAATTTGCCCTCATCAGCAATTATGCAGCTTAGTGTGTTCGGTTTAGCAACCCTCGTTTTCTATGGTCCACTTGTTGGATATGCCCTTGATCTTGATTCAATTTTTGCTGAAGTCAGCGCTGTGAATCGGGATTTTGAGAACATACTGCGCGTCTTGTTACGGCAAGCCCTTCGCCATGATGACCCTCAGACTATCAAGGTGAGTAGCCGCTGAATAGCCGTAATCAACATGACCCCGTCTTATATTCGAGTAGGAAGTCTGTAAATTCATCGAAAGCGCTACAGACAATCTGAATACCGCTTCTGACAAAATCGGTTTCGACTCAAATGTCGACGACCCCTCGGATGTCGTCGCGGCCTTCTGTGATGATATGGAGACTGTGAGTTGAGACAAGCAAGATGTACGATGATACATTGAGGTCCTGACGGTGTATTAGTTTACAAATACTCAGATTAAAGCTGCTGATATTCTTGTGTTCAAAGCGGCCAATATTTGGGATGCCATGAATGGCGCTCAGCTTCCAGATGGCATTGTTCGACTCAGCTCCGCATATGACAAATATGCTGGCAACATGATTCCACTTACAGAACATTGCACGACCAAGCACATGCAGAATATTTACTTGGTCAAATTAACACTTCACAGAGTGCTGGTGGATCTGGAACCCAACAATGGGCACCATCGAAGGGGGACACACCATGGCTAGGCGAGAGGCCATGGTCTGAAGGACCTTGTGAATGAGCAGCCAAAAATCCGCCATCACGGCTTGCCTGGAGCGATCGAATGGTTCTATTTGCTAGGGCTCCTTTGCGCCTGCGCCACGGGATACGTCGCTGGGTGAAAAGGAAAGTGAACCAAGCCGAAAGAAACTATTCGGCTTTGTGCGAACGGCCACTGGCTTTCCATTCCACAGTCGCCGCGGCTGCACCGTAGACTACTACATGATTCAGCCTGAGCTGGCATTGTTGCTGTGAAGATACGCGGATCTGTGATACTCACAACAAGAACAAAACAGAAATCCTCTTATTGTCAGATACCAAGTCGACCTTATCTGTCATGTCGGAATTTTTGATGCAGATATCGCTGCAGAAGTCCACGGGCAGAGGTGGTGCGCATCATGAACAGAGCTCAATCGCGCTGGCTTTCCAAAGTCGAAGCCATATGCGCTCTATGAGCAATTCCCATTGGTACTCTACACTTTGAATGGTCAAATGGTTGCGCGTGCCACCAAGACAGCCGTTGCTACTATCCTGAATGTTAACATGTGCTTAGGATGAATTGTTTGAACTAGTTGATGACACGAAATACTACATCCGCAAAAAATATTATTAATAATACAAAAGATCCTGTTGCCCTGGCAAAAGTTTCAAGAAAGCCATATACACCAAGTGCCGTCTAATTGCTCTGCAACCAAGGTGAAGACGTCGCCCAAAAGATGATGCGTACCTTCAACACATTATGTGCATAGTCCACAAATTCCTCCTTGGTGAATTTCATTCCCGTCCGAGGATTGAGCTCCTCGAGATCTGGCTCCTGCACAGCGACGACAGCGACGGGCACTTTATCGTGATACTTGGCAATGAACGGATACGAGTTGCTAACCTGCGCCTTCTTGAAGGGGATAAGATCTGGCCCGCCAACACCAACTCCATGCTCTGCGTAAAAGTCGAAGGATTCAGTGAAGCGGTTGTTGGCGTCGTTCCATCCGTCTGGCCAAAAGTTCACGTATTGCACTATATATGTCTTGTTGAAGACCTTGGCGGCGAATCCGGCGTTTTCGAGTTCGCCGCGAAAGTAGGCCTCGTTGGTAAAGTTGTCTTGGCTCTGGTTTACCGCGATGGACGTCTCGGGTAAGTTGAGGCCGGTGATTTTGCCGTCGAGCTCCTCGGACAAGGCACTTAGAAGCGCTTGATACCGCCTTCTCACCTCGGGATTCCACTGCTGTGCCATCCATCCGTCGACTTTGAAGTCGATGTCACATGCTTCGCCGTCGCAGGTCGGTGCGCTACCGTTGTTGTATTGCGGCGTGTGCATGTATTTGGGGACGGGGTCGTTGGTGGCAGAGAATGTTCTGTCTTGGAGTTGGACCCAGAACTTTTTGCCCTTTGCTTGAACACGAGAGATGTCGTTTTTGATGGTGGAGAAGTCGTATTCATCTTGAGAAGGCTCGAGGGATTTCCAGCTGTAGAGGGCTTGGACGCCAATGAGATCCGGGCTGTCTAGGAGTTCAATGGCTTTGTCGTCGATTTGGCTGCTGTAGAGCCAGTGCTGGAGGCTAGAGGCATTGGAACCAGATGCTGGGGCGGCGACGGTTGATGCCGCAAGTGATACTAACGTGAGTAGGAGGAGATGCATTCTGGAGATGCCGTAGCCAGTTGAATGAATCAAGACTCAACGCGAGGAAATGGATCCGAAGACCAAGGAGTTGGAACTTGGAAGGATGGGAGGAATCCTGCCAGATGGTGCGCGGCCGGTATTTAATTGCCTAGAGAAAGGGGGGCACAATCTGGTTATTGACGTTTCTCAATGCCAAAACTTCAAGAGCCATGTTTCAGAACAGTATTGTAGGAAAACTCTACAACCGTGTTGATGAGTCTTGTCGGATACGAGGTCTAGGATCTGGTGATGGAGCTGTGGCTGTGGCTGACCCGCTGGTCCCCCAACAGAATCGGTTGGTCGGGGAACAGGAAACCGGAGACTCGTAGACGCGATGGTTCATGCCCATGTTTTGCTCATTGGGCATTATTCTCGCCAAAACGACCGCTTCGCGGGTTGTTGGAGAGGATCGCTTCAGTGCGGAACACCTCACCTGACTGAGGGGGCCATGGTCTCTCTAGAATAACAAGTTCTAGAAAAAGTGTATGTGAAGGCGGTGAACGAGTTCGCCAATTGTGTTAGCACTAGAGAGAGAGCCTGGTTGATCTCGTCCCGACCAAGTCCTTGGTTGATTTAGCTGAGGCTCATCTGCTAGCAACGTGGAATCCTTGAGTCCAAGTTTCTGGATCAATTTCAATATGTAACTGACCAGTGACACAGTATTGTGTATTGGCTTCGTAGAAGGCTCAATACTGTCACTATCGACCTACTTGAAGCCTGCTGGCCCGTTGGAAAGACTCGGTGCGAAGCCAAACCATACCGTGCATTCAGATCTGTCAAGGCAATTTCACCAGAATGTCGTTTTACTTAGAACTAGGCCATACTGACAATGAGAAGGGCCCCTTGCTCTTCCAGAACACACAATGTCATCACATAACAGTGTAGACGTGAGGTTGGCAATGACATACTGGCTTTGGTCTATCAACGATTATGACAACAATGGGAGAGTAAACAGTCAGCAGAGTTCCCCGAGGGCTCTAAAAATCCGACGAGGAGTAGATAGACGAGGTCCTTTCGCAGCCGTCCGCTCAACAACTAGGTGGTATGCCTGTAGGCTGTTCACTTTAAAGGCATGTTAACCTCCCCAGAGGAATAACCGAAATTTCCGGTACACCTCTTCGCCCCAGCCCGCGATTATTGCCTCCTTGGAGCTTGGAGGAGTCAAGCCGTTTAGACAATTCTAGTATTGCGAGATGATAGTCTCGCGTCTTATTCTGCAAGAGTCAAAGTTGTGACATGCACGCCTCGAGCAGAGCAATATTGCGTCACTCCGCCCCAGCCGGCTCTGATGTCGAGAAGCCGCATGCCTTGTTTCAAGCCTAGTTCAGAAACATGGTCTCGAGCTTTCTCTGTGACGCTTGTTCAATCGTATCGTCTGGATCTGGCATCGAAAAGACGACTGACGTCCCCTTCGATAAAGGCGCGGCCAACGCCAAGTTCCGTCATGGGGGTCCGAATCGCCGCTTCTGAACGAAAGAATAGTTTGAAACTAGGAGGTCCATTACCAACTGGTATAATGAGGCCATCAGGAAAATGGACTTCCCCGGGTATGTTCAATTGCGCCACCAAGCCAGCGAAGCCGGTACGTGGAGCGGTGATTTTGGCGTGCTCTTGAACCATTTTTCGGGCGTTGGCCTAAGCAATAGAAGTTTTCTTTTAGATACCAGGGACAAATATGGCAAAAAGGATGAGTTGAAGAATTTAATGTTTGCACATCTTATTGCAACTTCTTCTGTGAAGAACCGCCTTGCTTTGGGCGGAAGCTTACTCAGGTTGTCGTCGAGCTGCCAGCGATGTAGGATATCAGCAATATCCATTTACTCACAAGACCTTGCCCCTTAGTTGCATGATTCGTCTACATAGCGCATGCCTGTCAATGACTAGGAATTAGGTCGGGGGCATGATCCGTCTGTCGGTTCCACCATGTGAACTCACACAGGTGTTTGAAGTGTCTCAGCTTTCTCATCGATGCCGTCACCGTTATATTCAGGGGACGTGTGATATGCCGCCTTGTCCGGAAATAGTAAATGGTGCTGATTCAGGGGTGAGGCAGGCTGTACATGATCTAGATTTTCGAGTAATATGACACCCTGGTTCTGGAGTATGCCCCTTCCTATTATGGTACTTTGGCAAGGCAATACAACGTTTTATTGTAGGCGCTCAGGGTGTAAATAACCTTCAACAATATCCAACTTACTGATTGTGGCAATGTCAAGCAAAGACTTGTTATAATGTCTTGACTCAAGTCGTACGCACCGACATAACAAAGCAGGAGGAACCTCGTGTTCGTAATAGACACAGTAATAGGTACGGTCGGGTGTCCTGAGATATATCCATATTCAATAGTCGCACGTAGTCAGTTTGCGGTGTGCAGACTGCACAATGGGAAAAGACTTGACTTGCCTGTGTATTGCGGGCTTAACCTCAGCCTCACACTCAAAAAGAGTAAGTTGCATATGCTGGATTTTATCATACGGATTACTTATTCGAAACTTAACATTAACATACTTTCACAATCCGGGACACAGATTAGGCCGGTCGAGTGGCCGTAAATGACGGGAGTCGGGACATTGCAGCCACAATCTGGGGAATGCTGTAGTATGAACCGTGAAATGAAATAAACCCGAATCGTTATTTCATTTTATTATTTAAAGTCTGCTGCCGGAGTTTGACCTTGAAATGCCTGGCAACAAATGCTTCGCAAAATGCCTCCATCGTCTCGCAAAATACTGAAGCCATACAGTACAACGGCTTCGAAAACATGTTCCTGCAAATAGGGGTTCCGAATCGAGATAAGCTTGACTGAAACCTAATCGACTGTAAAACTGTAAAAAAGCGCCCAAATATTTAGGTTCACTTCATTATACTCAGCCCTTCTCATATAACAGAGCCGCGGATGCCGGAAGCCGATCTCCGCTGCCGATTTTGTCCGCTCCGCTCGACCTCCGCCTTGCCGCACACGACAAACAATGCCTGTCAAAAATTGGAAAATGAATAAATGGTGAAAATATGATGCTTGAATTAGTTGCCTATAGAAATATCACGACAATTAGTCTGATACAAGCTGAAATAGCGAACGCTGAACAAGGGTCAATTATCTTTATAACTGGCACTGCGCAATGCTTCATTCTGGAAGCCGGGGAAAGTATCGCGGAAAATTCATTCTCAATTCAAACTCTGCCATCTCGGAATAGGTCAAGTCAACGGCGGACATCAGCCTCACGGCGGAGCAAGGCGGACCATTATGGGCCTGGCGGGATGAAATACGACATCTTGAGGACTACAAATAGGAGAGTCGAACAGAAATATCCTACCTCATGACTTTTCCAAGATCCAGAGCAACTGAAGCACCTCCACAGATCTAATCACTATCTACAAGCATGACGCCCACAAAACTTGTCACTGTATATGGTGCCACTGGCCAGCAGGGCAGTAGTGTGATCAACTCCCTTTTAGAGAACAAGTCTGGAGAGTTTGCAATTCGCGCCATCACAAGAAATCGTGATTCCGATAAGAGCAGGGCATTCATCTCGAGAAGTGTTGAAGTTGTGAACGGAGACGGATTTTCCCAGGACCAGATGAACAATGCTTTCAAAGGGAGTTGGGCTGCATTTGTCAACACAAATAGCTCTGATCCAGTAAGTTCCCACACACGAAATGTACTGCCATACACGGAACTAATTGGACAGCTGCTAAACCGGCCCGGAGGCATGGCGGAAAGAGACCTGGGGAAAATCATTGTCGATGGCGCATTCGAGGCCGGGGTTCAGCATTTTGTGTACAGCGGTCTCGTTTCTGCCAGCCTGGCGACGAATGGACAAGTTCCCAGTAGCTCTTTTGATGGTACGATGGCGGAAGAATCTGACATTGCCCTTCCCAAGCTGACACTGAACTAGAAAAGCACGCAATTGGAGAGTATGCCAAGTCCAAGGGTTTTAAAAGCGTCGTCATCGTTAGCGCGGGTTGGTACATGGAGAACCATACCCTTCCCGAGTTTGTAGAATTGATGGGAGGGTTTCCGTTCACTGCCGATGCAGACGGATATCTTAGCCTACGACTTCCTCGTATTGGCGGGGACGACAAACTCCCCTTCATTGCCATGAAGGATGACTATGGCGACTTGGTTCACGGCGTTCTTCTGCAGCCGGAGACTTATAACGGTCAACTCATCCAAGCAGCTAGTGAAATGGCTAAACCCGACGAACTTGTGGCAAAGTTCCAGAGAAGTAAGTGCTTGAGCGGACGTAACCAGAAACAAGGTATACGCTAACGTGGAGCAAGTGACGGGAAAGAAATCACGATACCTGGCTATAGAGGATTGGAGGACAATTGAGACGTACGGTAGTCCTGATATCGAGGGATTGAAGACAATGTACGCCTTTTGTCAGTACGTTGATGGAAAATACTATGGCGTACCTAGCAGTTTGGAACAGGCCAAGGAGCTCAAGGCGAAGGCAATTGTAGCCAAAGGGTTGCCAAGAGAGGAGTATCCGCTTCTCAATCTGGAGGAATTTATCAAAAAGTATTTGATCATTTAGAGTCTCCTTGGGCTTCGCCCCTGATGAGCGCAGGCCGAGCCGAGAAGCAAGAGGGCACGAAAAACAACTTAACAGGCTAGACCATGTCAGTAGAATTTGATACTACTTTAATATAGTGTTTTTTACCTTGTACACTTCAAGTGTCTGATCAAATACTGCCAACGGCCGTCCAACCCTTTGAGTATGAGAAATACATCTGGTGGTGGTGTAATACGAGGCAAAGATTGCGGCTCGGCACAATTTCCACGGCGTGCGCACAATCGCGCAACTCGAGCTCCTGGATAAATTATGCCGAGTCCCAGCTGAAGAGATTCCAATTATAACTGGGCTGCACTTCAAGACGATGATTGGTCGGGAGAACTGCCGTGGTCGTGCATCACATTGTCAAAACGCCGCTAAAATCGCGACATGGAACATTGTATGCAGTTTAGGGTGTACTATAGCTGCACAACATGCATGGTAAATTACAACCCATTCAATCAATATCAATTAATTACGATCCGCAACCAACACTGCTTCCAGTGGGAGCTGGCAAATGTCGCGAGAATCGTGTTTCACTTCGTCAGTTCAGCTCATCGTCATGTGAGCCTATAAGACGGACGTCGAATCCCTCCACCAAACCACCTTTTGGTACTCATACTGCTATTTCACATCAATTTGTACACATCTCCTGCCTCCTTACCAACCTGTACAAAGCGTTTCCGATACTTGGTATCTTGTATTCCATCATGAAGTGCAATTCAATCGCCTTGGCCGCCCTGGCCTTCATTGCCGGCAGTGTTATTGCTGCCCCGGCCAATATCGAAAGCCGAGATATTCCCCTGCTCGGCGGCCACTCTGGTCCTCTCCAAGGACTCGGCGAGACCCTCGACAGCATCGAGAAGCTGGTTCCCGGTCTGGGCCAGTAATCGTCCCGCGGTCTGACTGTGGAAACATGCTCGCTCTCAATGACAACAAATCGATTGCTGTGCTTGGCTTGGACATTTTCGACCCGAAAGCTCGTGTTCAATCGGTTTTTCTGCTGGGGTTATGGGTTTTTGCTGGATGACTCTGCAACTTGGCATGCTGAGTATTTGGTGCATGTAAATTGAAGGGGAATTCGGGGTTGGAACACGGGGAAAGACTCAGGTTTCTACAGGTTCATTGTTCAGTCCTGCACTATAATTCATTTACTATTTCTTTTTTTTTTTTTTGGCTACGCGTGGAATTTTGCAAGGCCATGACAAAACAGCAACGCCTCTTGGCTGGTTGACTCGATGCCATTCACAGCCCGGCGTCAACGGCGGCGGACTCACCACCAGCCATTTCTAAAATAGGCAATTGCGCCCCACGCAGGCGGCGCCGCCCGGCGTTTGGATGCGGGGGGCCGGCGTGATGCTCACGGAGTCACGGGTCCTGCGACGGCCCTGCGTTCAATCTTCAGGTTGCGCGCAAATTTGCAGGCGTTCAACGGACAAGAAATCTATTGAAAGTGATTGCCAGACCAGTATTCTAGTGAATTATATACAAACGGGTGCTGTCTGCTTGCCGTGCCATCCATGTCGTTGCCAGTGGACGGCCGCCGGGGGCCGCGGAGACTCGTCATTCGGCCGCATCGATAATACTCATCCACCCTGATCCCTCTGTCGCCAATATCGATTATGACAAGTCGAGTTCATGAGTATACGGGTGCCGAGGTGGCCACCATCTCCATGAGCCATAATCATAGTAGTAGAATGCAGAATTTCTCGTCTTTGGGCAAATCTCATGAATCGGCGATACGATTCAGGCCATTGGACATGCAGCCAGCTGGATAATTCTCGCCTGTAGGGTGGTTTCCGTATTGCTGCTTGTTCGGCTGCCGTTTGTACATCAGTCGGAGACCGCGGGACCCGAGCCTGGCCGTATACTAATCAGTCTTGGCAATGAGGTTAAATCATGAACAAGTATTTATTATGAGAACAGTACTCCGTATTTAAGAATAAAATTAAATAAGGATTTCTTTTCTGAATTACTTCTTTTCGGACATCATCTTCGCATACGTTGAAGCAGAAAGCACAAATTGCCACGTCGAACTTTCTTGCTCTTTCGTCCCTCAAAGTTCAAACCATGCCACTTGGCTCCGTGCATTCGGGAGACACCATTGTCAATGGAATGCCATCAAGCAAATCCATTGAGTCTCCTAAATTTACCTACCCAGCGGAAACATGCCGTCACATTGCTACAATACTCGCCTTTCCTTCAAAATGCTCCGCCCCTCCCGTACATTATGAGAACGCATGTCGGGAGATAATTGAACTCGCTGCTGCAATTTCCGCGTTTGAGCCAGTCCGCTTATATGCGAGACTAGAGGACTCGCACGTAGCGCAAAACATGTTGGATGGCAAAAGGCTGGGCCCGTTTGCAGTCGACATTATCCCTTTTGCCACCAACCATCTCTGGGTTCGTGATACAGCACCCGTCTATGTCCACGGCACGTCGCCCGAGACTAGGAACCACCGATATGCCATCAACTTCAGATTCAACGAATGGGGTGCAACAGTTCCCGATAATGGCTCTCTGAAGATTGGCGAGCAGTGGCCAAAACTGGCTGCGACACAGGTAGAGGAAAACACGACGTTTGCAAAGCGTGTGATTCAGCAAGACACACACCCGTCGCCCGTCACATGCATAGAATCCAAGATTCGCCTGGAAGGCGGCGCGCTGGTCTACGACGGCGAGGGAACCCTCATCGCGAGCGAGAGCAGCATTATTGGCGACGACCGAAATCCGCACTTGTCCAAGCAAGAGATTGAGGATGAGCTGCGCCGTCTGCTTGGTGCCACCAAAATTATTTGGTTTCCGGGGTTCAAAAATCTAGACCCTACGGATGTCCATGCCGATGCGGAGCTTCAGTTTATTCGACCAGGCGTCCTCGTCGTGTCGCGGCCGCATGAGAGCGCGGAAGAGCGGTGGCACCAGGTTTACAAGCAAGTCAAGGCGGCCGTTGGCGGCAACAGGGATGCCCGAGGGCGACTCTTTGAGATGTATGAAATTGCCGAGCCAGATCCAAAATGTACTGGGTGTCTGGAACATGAGGACCCGGCGACCAACTATGTCAACTTCTACTTTGCCAATGGGGCTGTGATTCTGCCCAAATTCGGCGACCATGATGCAGACACGGCGGCGTTGATAAAGATACAGGAGTTGTGTCCTGATAGAGTTGTCAGGCAAGTATATGTCAACGCTCTCCCGCTGACTGGCGGCGTGATACATTGTTCCACGCAGCCAGTGGTCGATTTTGAAGATGTTTGAGCGAGGCTGAGGTTCATAAAGTAAACAGTGTCATTCTAAAAACTTGGAGATGTACTTGAATGGCAATTGATGCAAATTTGTGTGAAAATGTGAACACATCTCGCCTGCACAGATAGCTTGGTCCCCAGGTGCTGAGCTCAGTCCACCGGTTCGCTTTGTATGATAGATAAATATCGGAAAGTAGGACAAGACCATGTCATTAATATTGAATTATCAACCATTACTCTCGTTTATTTCCGCGCTGTCCAAACACGCCCCCTGAAAGTCCTCCATCCTCGGTTGCTAGTACTTCAGGGTAGCAAATGTCTATAGTGCTTGCAATTTCCCGTGTTCTGTCGATGCATTTATGAGTAATATCAGCAGGTGAGACTTTTCATCACGATTTTTTTTTTTTTTTGATTTTTTAATTTTTGGTTTTTTACTTTTTCTTTTTTGCGCTTTCGGTAATTGCACTGTGATTATTCACTTGATCAGTGTTACTGCAGATTGATAGCGTCGGGTTGGTTGTCGGTAGTACTTGACGGTACAAGTCCCATCAACACTTTCTCGTCTAGCTTTCGACTTCAAACCACGATTCCATTAGATCAACAGCCCATTGACAAAAGGAAAGTTAAATTCACAGACTAATGTCGCAATAATGTCGCAATATCGCTCCGTCTCGCCGCCGTCAGGTGCCGGGGTAGTGGCCTTCAATGTCGTCGGTACATGTCAAGTACGAGTTGACGTGAAATCACGAGACGAGTGGAGTCTGGTTGACACTCGGATCATGCATCGTCCAGAAGTTGGCTGGTCTTTGCTTTCAGCCTCCTCCGCACTTGTTCCTTCAAAACCTGCAAACAAGCAAAGGATCCTCATCATGGACTGTTCGTGCTGCGGGCCAGGCTCTTCGTCGCTGCCGGCGAGTGCCTCTTTGCCTCTTGGAAACGATGACTCGAGGAACTCGGCTCCCCCATCGGGTGCTGTTGCATCTCGGGCAACCGATTGCGACATCGTCCAAATTCGTCCTGGCAACCAAGCCGCGGAGCTGGAAGTCGGTTGCGAGGATGCTGAAACGACCTCCAAAGAAGCTTGCCAGGACAGTTGCTGCGGAGGCAGCACCGTCGACCTTGGGCCAACAAACGATTCAGACGATGCTCCAACAGACCTCCCCCCAGTTTGCACCGACTCCTGTTGCGATGGAGAGGCAACCCCGGACATCCATGAATCCCCCCCTGGAGTCGCCAAAGAGGAGGAGGATGGGGCTTCGACTAAAGAGTCTGCTGACGATTGCTGCCGTCCTTCTCCTCCCGCTTGTAGCCTTGGATGCTGCGATAAACAAGAGCCCGTCCCTGCAGAAGAAGGAATAGTCCACTCGCCAGACAAGGACTGTTCAGATAACTGCTGCAGTGCCAAATCGGATCCCAAATCACCAGAATGCTGCCGTGGCAAGCCGTCGCCATGCTGCGACGAATCTTGCCTGGACCGCTTGGCTCTACGGGAATGTGACTCTACAGCAGGCCCAGCTTGCGGCGGGCAGAAGCACCAACCTTGTGACCAGCACCGACTCTCGATTCGCCAGCAGTATCGTGCCCGTCTCGATGCGCTCGGATGTATCTGCCGTGCGCTGCTCGCGTTGGGGAAGGAGACTTGCTGTGATCCCCGATGGTCTTCCACTCCAGTGAAGCCTAAAGGCTGCAGTCGCAGTCGCAGTCGGAAAGAGGCTGACCGCATTTCTATTTCATCTTGCTGCTCGAGCTCCATGGCAAAGACACAATCTACTTGCAAACGAAGACCAGCCAGACATCAGTCCAAAGCATCATGCAGTCCTCCTAGTCCAACACAGTCTGCCAGATCCGATGGTTCTTGCTGCAAGCCAATCACGAAACTTTCGTCAAAGCCCTCTCTCTTTAATCCTGAGGATCAATCCGTCGTTGGAATCGAGGCCGTGGGCTCTAGAACCAAAGGCTGTGGCAATCGTCTCCCCGCCGCTGACATGAAACCTGTCCAACATCAAGGCGATGCCAGCACAACCATGTCGAAGGAAATCAGCGCTCGGAACAATGACATTGAACATGTAGTTCTTTCCGTTTCTGGAATGACCTGCACAGGCTGCGAAACAAAACTAAATAGAACTCTTGGGGTGATATCCGGAGTCAAGAACCTGAAGACCAGCCTCGTCCTTTCCAGAGCGGAATTCGACATTGACCTCAATATTGTGACTTGCGACTACGTCATGAAACATCTAGAACGAAGAACTGAATTCAAATGCGAGGTCCTTACCAACAATGGATTCACCCTCGACCTCGTTATAAGTGAAGATCCGGCAATGTTTGTCAACCAATCTTTTCCTGATGGCGTATTGGATATTACCCTCGTCAAAAAGGATGTCGTGAGAGTCTCTTTCGATCCGCTCATCATCGGGCCCCGAGATCTCATGCAAAGGCACTGGAAAGGGCGTGCCACCCTTGCGCCCGGAAGTGATGATCCTGGACTTGCGGCGGGAAGAAAGCACGTTTCCTACCTGGGATACATGACTATTCTATCTATAGCTCTGACTATTCCGGTGCTTGTCCTGGCCTGGGCTCCCTTGCCCAAGAGAGATGTCGCATATAGCTCTGCTTCTCTAGTCCTCGCTACCATTGTGCAGGTGTTGATTGCAGGGCCGTTCTATCCCAAGGCACTGAAAGCGCTTCTGTTTTCACGAGTTATCGAAATGGACCTCTTGATCGTACTCAGTACGAGTGCCGCGTACGTATTCTCCGTGGTATCGTTTGGCTACCTAGCAGCCAAGAAGCCTCTCCCCACCGGACAGTTCTTCGAGACAAGCACTCTCCTTGTCACATTGATCATGGTTGGGAGATATGTTGCAGCACTTGCGCGCCAAAAGGCGGTCGAATCCATTTCCATGAGGACATTGCAGGCTGAGACCGCTCTTCTGGTGGTGAATGGCGACACATCAAAAACCGAGACTGTTGATGTGCGGTTACTTCAATACGGCGACACGTTCAAAGTCCCCCCCGAAACCAGAATGCCAACTGATGGGGTTGTATTGTCTGGTTCCTCCGAAGTAGATGAATCTATGCTGACTGGAGAGTCGCTTCCGGTTGAAAAGACGGCCAAATCGAGTGTCATCGCGGGGACTTTGAACGGCCCTGGTACTCTGATTGTCCGACTCAAACGCCTCCCAGGCGACAACACAATCGCTACCATCGCAGCTATGGTTGACCAAGCAAAGTTGTCTAAGCCCAAGATGCAAGAACTTGCAGACAAGGTGGCTTCCTATTTTGTCCCGGTAGTTGTTGGATTAACAATCATCACCTTTGTAATTTGGGTTGCCGTCGGGATAGCAATACAGCACAAGTCTGGATCTGGAGCAGCAGTGCAGGCAATCACCTATGCCATCACCGTGCTTATTGTGTCTTGCCCATGCGCTGTTGGGCTTGCGGTACCCATGGTCATCGTCATTGCTAGCGGAATTGCAGCTGAACGAGGAGTCATCTTCAAGTCTGCGAACGCGATTGAGATTGCACATCAAACAACCCATCTTGTTCTAGACAAGACTGGCACGCTAACCGAGGGCAAGTTGAGCGTCACCGCGGAGAACATTGTATCTGACAATCAGAACTTGTCGCTTCTTCTGGGACTAATCGCCGACAATAAGCATCCAGTGTCCATTGCGATTGCCAACCATCTCAGAAACAGGCATATTGTGGCAACTCCCGTGCGTGACGTAAAGAGTCTGGTAGGCAAAGGTGTTATGGGCTTGGCCGGCGACAAGACCTTGCGTGCCGGCAACTCACGTTGGTTAGACTTTGATTCTCACCCTGCGGTACGAGCTGTCGATGCTCAAGAGCATACTGTGTTTTGTTTCTCCGTCGATGGTCAATTGGCCGCCGTATTTGGCCTAAAGGATTCCCTCCGCCCGGATGCTCTACATGTGGTTGGCCTACTTCAGCAACAGGGAATCTCTGTGCATATAGTCTCTGGCGATGATAATGGACCTGTTCAAGGTGTGGCCTCCAAACTGGGAATACCCACGAGCCACACACGCTCCCGCAGCACGCCAGCCGATAAGCAACTCTATATCAAGCGCCTCCTGGAAGAAACCACAGAGACAAAGAAACCGGTTGTCGTTTTCTGCGGCGATGGCACAAATGATTCAGTAGCCCTCGCCCAAGCAACCATTGGCGTCCACATGCATGAGGGCAGTGATGTAGCCCAATCTGCAGCGGATGTGGTTCTTATGAGGCCCGGTCTTGCTGGCCTGGTGACTGTGAGAGAGGTGAGCAAGGCCTCGGTTCGACGGATCAAGTTCAACTTTGCGTGGGCCTTTGTTTACAACACGTTTGCGGTGCTTCTCGCTGCCGGGGCTTTTGTGAATGCGAGGATCCCGCCAGAGTATGCCGGCCTGGGCGAACTTGTCAGCGTTTTGCCTGTGATTGCAGCGGCGGTTCTCATGCGTTGGTCAAAGGTCTAGCCGGGTTGCTGAGCTACTGTGTCCGTTTGATGGGTAGATGTACGCTTCTACCTTTCAGGACAGTCGCTTCAGCTATTTTCTGTTCCCTTCGTGTAACCTCTATTCCCCGAGAAGAAGACGTTGGAATTGAGTTGAAAATGTGACTCGAGGCCGTGTTCAACCACACTTTGCGTCTTTATGGCGAGATTCAACATCTCGACGGTGTTGCTACTTACTGTGAAACTATCGCTAGACAGACGAATGCAAGCTACATATATTTTAAATACACTCTTTCCACTCGCAGGTTTGCTCGGGTCATTGCTGATGGAAATGCGACGCTATTCTGGGCTTAATAACCCATCTCTTTTGGTAGAGGGACACGAATCAGTACGACGTAACCAGATATCGTTGCAAATTTGGCTCTTCGCGTGATCAAGTCACCACCAGTCAAGCAGTATTTGCACAGATACATGTACCCGCGAAACTTGTCACTGCGTGTACGTGTACGTGTATGTGTTCTACGTATAATACGGAGAATGGAGAGACAAAGCTAGCCCACGAGCGGCCTGCTGCCCTTTGGAAGAGTGATTTTGAAAACCAACATCTGGTGGTCCAAATTCAGTCCTGATTTATCCGCGTACGGGGTTTTTCCAAAGTTGATAAACCCTAGTCCTCGAGGATTAGCAGCGAGCCAACATGGATATGCCAACATACGCCAAAAACGTACCATGTTGAGTAATAAAGTCATTGTCAGAGGATGCGAACAAGAAGTACTCCTCTGCACTGTGCTTCCCGTCTTCGTTCTCGACTGGGACCAAAGCAATGCCCTCCCATTTCTCGTTCAACAGCCCGCCATCCCGAGGACCGCCGTTGTGCAAGCCAAATCTACTCAGCTGCGCTTTGACGTTGAAATCGATCAAGGGGCAGACTGTCGCGGGCGTAATGTCAGACTTTAATACGCCGGCTACTACGATCAGTAGATGTTTGTATCAGATTTTTTTTTCAGGGAGATACGGGCGAACCTGTGCTCGCAATCGACGCATTAAAGGCGTCGTGTGCAGGCCCCTTGACATTCGTCGCGTTGGAGATGTCAAAGATGTCAACATGTCTATATATCGATTCCCAGCTGGACAGATTGCCTCCGTTGTTGGAGTCTCTCGGCAAGAAGAAGAACTGCGTGTCCGAGACGAAGTGCATGTCGGACTGCGAAGCTACGGCAGTCTTGCCAGAGGCGTCCTTGAAGGTAGGCAGCGGCACGACATACTCCCCCTGGTACACGACAGCTTGCTTGTCCTCGGTCGAGTATTGCAGCAGGCGGGTGTATTGACGGGTTTTCGAGCTCGACCCGCCGTCCTGGACAGCGGCGGATTGAAGAAGCGCCCATAGAGTCTGCCCATCCGGACTGGCCGTCATTCCCTCGAATCCCTGGTTATTCTGGCGCCCCTGGGTCGGGTTAGATGGGATAGGCTTCTTGGTAAGATTGTACGCTGGAGGGTTGTTTGACGAGAAGCTGCCACATTGCCTCCTTGTCAGTCCGAATACGGCCCCTTCAAGACGGAATACTGACCTCACAGTGCCGTTTCTCAGAGGGAGAAGAGCATTCGGCGGCGCTACGGCGGCCGTCATTCTGCCATTCTTGTCAAACTTGTAGATATACGGGCCGTACTCGTCGCCAATCCAGAAGCCGCCGTCTTTGGCGAGAACCAGTGCTTCTGGGTCGAGCGCAACGCGTTTCCAACCCGGGCCCTGTCCGCCAAAGCCATCTCCGGCGCTTGTTGCTGCTGGGAGGAGTGGGAAACCGGGATATTGCAAACCTCCCGTCTGGTCCGCGTCCAGGCCGGTCATGGGCGTGCCATCTGGGCCGGTGAGCAGAGTCGAGTTCTGGTATACAAAGGCGACATTTGGGGGCGACGGATGAGCAGCACTCGCGCTCGTATTGGGCGTCAGTGTTACGAGGAATTCATGGACACGCGGCTGGAAGTTGATTGTGCCCTGCGTGTTCCATCCGCGGTCCGGCAAGCCGTACAGCCTGCCTTGATACTTGGGGCCGTTTTTGGACCAAGACGTAATTGCGATGGATGAGCCCAGGCTGATGGAGTCTCCAAATTTGTCCAGAGCATCGCTACGGACAAAGCCGTATCCTGCGAGCTCGTTATACGTGTATGTCTTGCCTGCGCAGGTGGTTGAGAAGACGTGATGCTGGGATACGGCCGAACCAGCAGACACGGCGAACACGGCCAGCGAAGCGCGCACTTGGAACATCGCGGATTATTGCCAGTCGGTGCAATGGGACATGGAAACGGGCGGACAAGCAAGTACCTTGCTTTCGGGAGAGGACCAGCAGCGGCATAACGGCGATGCAGCCCTTTAAGTTGGGCGCCTGTGCCGTCTCCCAGCTCGTGGGAGACTAAACACTGCATGTCATTTATTAATCCATCCAGGGTTGTCACTGGTCAGTATGCATTGTACATATGCAGTGTTGACGGAAACGAAAAAGCCTCAAAGCTTTTTAACCCGTCAACAGAAAACGGGAAAAGGCCAGCCTCTAAACGGAAACGGAAAAAGGCCTCTTAAAATGCTTCCGGCTAAAAGCCTAATTAATAACTTGGTGTCGGTGGCAGGGTTTGTTTATAACTTGAGCAACATCCAAGTTGAGTGGCCATGTCTCCCGTGTGCTGACGGTACAACCTGCAGATCATTTGTGGCTTCTTTTTTTTTTTGGCGTCGCGCATACATACATCAAGTTACCAATCGATCGACCCGTTGGCCCAGTGTTCAACTAATGGGGTTTCGGGCGCCGTGCACAAAAGTTGAAACAAGATTGTGAAGTGACGACATGTTGCAAGGAGGTTGACAAACTTGGCCCTCTTGCGCAGTTCGAGGCTCGACAGAGTCTGGGTATGGATAAGCGCGGTGTAGAAGACGAGCAAAGGATTTTTAACATGTTGCAACAAGTGAAATTTATAATTATGCAACAACTCCAAGTGTGCCATTCCGTCCTCGAGTTGTACAGAACGGTCGCTGTTAATATAATACACAGAAAGCAGCCGTCTTCAACAACACAGCAGGGCTCGCTATATGGTCTGTGAACCGGCCGCCTGACTCGAAGACTCGGCCATGACGACTGCCTTTTTCTCCTTCTTTTGAGACTGGTCGAAGAAGGGCGTCTTGCAGAGCGGACAAGTGTTGTGTTGCCGCAGGTACCACGTATCCAGGCACGATGAATGGAAATAGTGTTGGCATGGTAAACGCCGGACCATGTCGTCGTCTTTCAAAACATCCAGGCAGATGGCACTGTAGGCGAGCTAGTTAGCACAGGTGACGGCCTAGGATGGAATCGTATGCTTCCTCCTCTTTTTCGTTTCCGCCGCTCTAGATATCGATATCTGATGGAGGCGGCGCGAGAGACGTACCAGACTATAACGTTGTCAAAGGAACAGGACGCCGGTGGCTTGGGCTCAGGCTCGGCCTTTTCTTGGTCGTTTCCATAGGCACGACTTGGTGCCACGCCGTCCAGCTTTAATATGGACGCGAGTCTCTTGCGTTTTCCAGCCTCCAAGTCCTCCGGGCTGCCACCGCCGCGGTTCTTGCACAGAAGTCTGCCATGGATATTCAGCTAGCTACTCAGATGACGGTTACTCATGAGAAGAGGCAGGCCCATACCTGGAGAGCAACACAAGGACGACAAATATACCCGCCAGAATACCGAGCACGATTCCGACTGCGACACTCCCGCCGTCGCTGGTGGGCTGTGGGTTGATGTTGTCGGGATTAGTAGATGATGACATTGTGTATTACATGCAGCGTGATGGATATTCCAGGAGCGGCGCCGTCAGGACATATCGCGCTTATGTAGCTTCGAGAATCAAGCCGCAGCATCGTTTGCTCGGGCGGTCCAAGACCAAGAGCTCGCAGCTTTTCAGTCAACACGGCGCACACCTCGCGTTCAAGGTCCACGACGTGTTCCTTTTATGCCTGATAGCAAGTGGGCAAATAAAGCCGTCCTTGCCCACCGGGCAAGCCTCCCAGGCTGGGCTCAGCGAACCGGAATGCCGATGGCTGAGATGGCCATGATGGCTTGCGATGAGCAAAGGCCAACTGGCCCAATGCTCGACTGCGAACCATCAGAGTGGATGGCCGAGTGAGCCAAGCAACGGTCGCGGCTCGTCCGCCAACCTGAATCAGTATTGATTCTTAACGCCATCCAGAACCAGACTCCTTGGCGATAACTCGACTACGTTGCGAGGGGTGGCGTGACGTGGAACAAAGGGCTGTGCATCCCGTCTTGAGTCTTGAGTCTTGACAATCCCCATGTTGCGGGCGAGCAGGGCCGGGTTGCAAATCGCCAACTCGGTGGTATTTCCGTCAACAGAAGCTCGTACAGTACACGAGAAATACTGCCAATCGCCAAAACACAAGCCAACTCGTTGCAGCTTCTTTCAACTCCCCTGTATCCAAGAGACGGCACTGTGGGCTGAGCTCTTCTTGTAAACATCTGGTCCAAAACTACGCAGCTAATACTATAGCTACAAGCCAGCAGATGACTAGCAAAGACCCGACTTGCCTGCCACGTAATCCAGCCACGAGCGAAAAAGCCGCTCGCTAAAGCTACGACTGCCAAGGTAGTTGTATGTAGTAGAGTACCAAAGTCAAATGGAATGCGTCGGCTCCAGGTGGCGCTTCTGCGCAGTGTAGATGGACGGGACGGGTTTCTAGTGAGACACCCGGGACAACCAAGGAGTGGACGAAACAACAAAGAATGCTCAGCGGAACAAACAATGCGTCTCATACAAGACGGCAGGGAAACGTTTAACCTTTTAACAAGGCGAGTTATCGATCCCTCGGCTCCCCCAGTTACATGGTAGATTGCCCGCCGGGGTACAGTTCACAACGCTTACAGCGTTCAACATGTCGGTTCTCAAGGTGGCTTAATCGGAGCTGCTAACCCATGGCTATATTCCCCGCAAGACAACGCCCTGTAGCTAGCTAATCGACATCATCGTTCGTCTCGCTAAAATCGGACTTGTGGACGGGCGGGCGGTCGCAAAATATCCCCTTCATTTCAGCCTCCCCCCACAAACCGATAGACAGCATCCGCAAGTCAACACTTTTCTATAACGACAAGATCATTCCATCAAGACATTACGGAGTAGTAGTGTCTAGAATAGCCGCCTCTGCCAGCTGGGAGACTCTCCAGGAGAATCCAAGGCGCCAGCAGTCTTGCCTAGCCCCTCGTGCTGTGTTTCCGTGCCAAGCAGTCGAGACTGGAAGCATCGCCGTGCCAGTCCAGTCTTTGATTTAACAGAGACGATATTTATGGAGAAGAAGCTCAAGCCGGCCAAGTTTGTGCGAGCGCAACGCCTGGCCGGCCAAGAGTAGAGCGATCCGGCTCAGCCTTGTCGAGGTTCTGGACCTGTGGCACAACTTCGCCCAGCTGCAGCGAATCGAGAGCAATCGCCGGCCCCCCTCGCGTTGACGCAGGTGTGGCCCATGGGATGAGATGGCACGATGGGGATTCCCCCGCAGAACGTGGTGGCGCCACCCTTTGGCTTTTGCCTCCGAGACTCCCACAGCCACGGTTCTGTCTGTATGTAGCTGGACCCTGTTGAACTTGGTGCTGTTGCTGGGCAGTGGTCACCAACGGCAGGTGACGAGGTCCTTTATCTCGTCTGTAGCGAGGAATTGGGAACGCGGTGACGGCGCTGCATGCGTTTCCGACTTGGGAACAGGAGGATACCTCGGCGTGGCGTGTTGGTCACGCCCACGAGTATAACTACTACGTACTATCGACTTGAGGACTCGGATCGCGTGCCGAATCACGACAAGTCTTCTGTGTCGACAGCTCGCATACAGTAGCCTCACGCTGGGCAATGGCATAATTAACACGGATTGTGGTCCGGCAACCTTTTACCAAAGACGGACATGATATGCCAGAAGTTAGAACTGCCACGTCACAACTGGTGCTTTCCATTTGAGCAGCTTCTCCGGCGTGGCCTGATGAGATGCGCATGTGGAAATGGCACCGAGTAAATAGAGAGCAGATGGCTGTGCGCGACGTGTCATGCCATGCGGGTATCTCACCACATGCATGCATGTCCTTGAGCTTGCCGCCCATCATGTCATCCCGCCATGCATTGCCGGTGACGTAGCTTCTTCTTGTTTGACCTTTTTTTGTTCCAGACATGATGAGAGGGCAATCGCGTCTTGTTTCACCCTGTAAGCCACCGGAAAGCTTCGGTTCATACGTATCTACCAAACACATTTATTTGTAGGAGCTTGCCCAGCACTCACCACCACCCTCACCACTCTCAAATGAGTTTTGTTTTTTCAAAACGCCTACATCACTTGAAAACTCGTCATAAACTGCGCACAACAACCTCACATGGCACCCAAAGTCGAATGCATAAACCCTTGTTGTCCTTCTCGCAAAGTGCCAACCCCCCGACTCCGTCGCTCTGCTTCGATTTCCAGCATCCAACATCACCACCCGCCCTGGACGACTCCTTCGAGCGCCGCCATCACAGATCTGCCGCTGGAACTGATTTACAACATCTTCGACATCCTTGACCCCATCGACTGCACATGTCTTGGCCTTGCCAACCGACGATTCTACGCCGTCCTCCGCCATCTCTACGGCTCCGTCCCGCTGAGCTGTCAACGCCTCGGGCCCAATGATCTAGAATGGGCGTGGAACTGGGCCCAAACGTCCGAATCCCAATGTTCCTGCTCGACGCAGAGGCGGGGTTCGGTGCAAAGTAGAGAATCGTCACCACTGCCCTCTGAATCTCGGTCAACGGCCGTCGAGCCAAACAAGGGCCAGGGATTCTGTCGCCACTGCGGTGCCAATCGCTGCCAACTACACAGGCACCTGTATTGCTGGATGGGCGTCAACGACCACCGTTCCGAATACTGTTTCGTGGCGGAAAGATTTCTGCCTCCGGCTGACCAAAGTCCGGTGAAGCATTGCTACTTGACCAAGCCGGGCTGGCCTCGCCGGTGCGGCAAGCATCCTTCCAGCGATATCATCTCTACTCCTGGACACCATACCGTCAAGGTGTGACTTGATACTTTCCATCCGTGTTTAGTTCTCGCCCGTCGTTACACCCAGACAAAGACACGAGGCCAGTCAAACCGAGCGATAATCACGGGAAAGGGAATACTCGAAAACGTCTGACACATGTACGGATCCGCATGTTGCTGGCAACACGTCGTATTGTATTATTTTTCAAACTTGTATACTGGCCAGCTTTGCACTCCAGCCAGGAGCTCCTCTTATGCCGAAACGTCCAGCGGAGACTTGCAGCCAAAAGCATTCAGCTGAGGAACCGCATAGATCTGGATCAGGTTCATGACGGAAGAATATATGCCGAGGGCACACAAGGCCATGGCACCGAGGAAATACAGCAGATTGAAGACGTTGAGGTACCAACGGGCACCGAAGAAGCCGCGCACCCAGCGCCTGATTCCGCCATCGCGCGCCGCCAGCTCGCCGGTGCTTGGGTCGAACCCGGCTTCTCCCTCCATGGCGGACTTTTGGATCTGATAGCCTATGTGCAAAAGCGGCGGGAACGAGTACGTAAACTGCAAGATGCAGACGGCGGCGACGATGCCGGTGAAGCCGGCGAAATCGGGAATCGCTGCTCCGATTACATAGGCCATAGACCAGTAGATTGGGACGAGAGCAAACCAGATATATCGACCGTGCTTGCTTTCCAGCGGCGGGGCCTTGAAGAATTCGACAAGAATGTTGTTATAGAGCACTGTCGTCATCTGTTAGCATGTGGCTGCTACACATGAAAAAAAGGAATACACACCTTTGATACCAATATTGCCGTAGAGCGTAGCCGCAATCAGAGCGGATACAATGGCCAGGGAGTTGCCTGCTGTTTGCAAGCCGTACGCAGATATTCCCAGATATGCAGGCGTCTGCACGTACTGGCCCTGGAAGCCGTACATGAAGAGCCCGTATAGCATGTAGCAGATGTAGATGAAGAGCTGGGCAGACCACATGCCCTTGAGAAAGTCTCTGGGGCGCCTCATTTCGGCCATGAACTCGGGAAAGATCATGGATCCGCCGTACGAGTACACGGCTTGCATGGCGCCGTTGAGCGAGGCCGCAAAGTTGCCAGAGTCAGGCAGGGCCGCGCTGTGCTGGACGGGGGGGTACGTTCCGTTGACGGGGGTGACGAGTGCCGGATCGATGGAATAGCCCGCCGACGAGGCGGACGCAGAGTAGAGAGGCGGCGTGTGGGCGGCGGCGCCCATGGTGATGAACATGATGAGCAGGTTGATGAAGACGGCCACGTTGGCAAGCCAGGTGAACTTTTGCAGGGTCCGAATCTGGCCCAGGACGAAGCCGGCGAGGGCCCAGACCAGGCAGCAAATAGCATAGCAGAGCTTGAATTTTACGGCTTCCGACAACGCTTCGCCGTTGGATATGATGATGGCGCCGACGTTGCAGATAAGCTGGATGGCCTGAAGGACGTTGAACAAGTAGCGGCACCATGTTCCGTAGACACGGAAGCCTATGTCTCCGAATGACTTGATGGGAAACTGAAATGAATCAAGGCCTGGACCGATTAGTTGAGCTTGTCGGAACCAATAGACATGAATTGATACAACCATGTTGTAGTTGAGGATCAACCTACCCATGAAGCAATCCCACAGCAGATATCCAGAAAACCCCGCCATGAATCCAAAGACGGTATACAGAGCGGTACCCGGTCTATTCGTGTCGTGTTAGTTGCCGTCTCGTCAAGTTCTCGAAACCATGTTGGCTCATCTCATGACACTCACCCCCAACCAGTCGTTGCGAAAGCATAGGGCAAGCCAAAGGGACCCAAAATATCGGTAGTGATGAGGTAGAAGATAGCACCGGTCCCAGCGGTTCTCAGGGCCCTCGAGGCGTTTGTCCACTCCTCGTCGGAAATAATCTTGCGCTGCTCAATGTCGGACGTGTTCAGATCAGAGCGAGTGGCAACGTCGGCAGGTCCCGTTTCAACCTTTTGCAGATTGGGGACCAGATAATACAAAAGCGACTTTTTGCCCGCTGGCCTGGGCAGTGCATCCTGTTCCGCACGAGTGATTCGCGCATAGTGTTGGTATTCTTGGAACGAGACGTCTGGGTCGTGAAGACGTCGCATACGGGGGGGGGTTGCGAAGCTGACAGGCTCAGCCTTGTCGTCTTGTCCAAGTCGATGGGAGTTGTGGTGCTCCACGAGTTTTTCAGAATTCTCCATCTTGTCAATGAGATTGTGACTTGTGACGAGGGATTGAGACTCAAGAGTAAAGAGTCAAGACGGCGCGTGTCACGGTCCGGGGCCCCGGCGACGAGACGCCTACATATATACTGCCAATTTAACCGGCCGGCGTCGTCTCAATTGTCTGATGCAGCTTCGGTGATGGTCCTGGAGTTGGTTCGGGCCAAGATTCGATCTTGTGGCGGAGGCGTGCCCTCCTCGGCGTCACTAGCGAATATTCTACAGGAACTTTTTGTTCCTTCGACCAAGCTTCTCTCTCTTGTGGCGGCGCTGGCTCGGCCACACCTCCAAGACCGGCATCGAGGTGCCGATGAGACCAAGTTTATATGGTACACGAGGCTCGTCACCACGATCAAGGTATCAATCAGCCCAGTTCCTGGACAGAGGGCCCTCGCATGCCGTCCGAGCCGAGTCCTCTCCCACAAAGTGGATTTCGTATCGGTTCTAGTCCCATATGATATAACTACTCGGTACTACCCTGCTCTTCGAAGACAAGGTTACTTGAACCTTCAGAGCCACCGCTGTGCCGGATCGGTGTTATTGGGCGAGGGTTTAGGCTTATCTGTTTTGCTTGTAAACAGGAGCATCAAATTGTTCCAATGGAAACGTTTCGAGACGTCAAATAGGCCAAGCAAGAGTTCCACTCTCGGGTCTCGGGGTGTGTCTTGCCCTAATAACCCTGGCAACCTGGCAGGGTATCGTGAGCGCCACGATGCCGTCCGAGAATGACTAGGGTACGGCTCTTCCGAGCAGCAAGGATCAAATTGCGTGGTCCCGCGTTCTTGTGGAATCGTCTTCCGTCTCCATTAGAAACCTGGGGTAGGCACAAGAAGTTGAGGGAGGAGCCCTGTAACGGCTTGAATCAAGGCATAACGATTCATGAATCTAATCCCCGATGAAGAAATGCGGGGAACCCAGATTGCAGGTCGCCGTCTTTCCACTTTCCACTTTCCACTTTCCACTTTCCACCTTGCACTTTGCACCTTGCACCTTGCACCTTCCACCTTCCAACTTCCCAGGCTCGGGTTATCGGCTCGACGGATGGATTCTTGTGGAGCAAAAGGCAACGCCTCAATGCCAACAGACGAAAGCTCATGGGACGAAACAACAGCCACATCCGCATGTTGCCCCCGTCTCGGCCAAGGTCACTTGGAAGTGGCGAATGTTGACGGTCCTTGTGGATCAGACAGATGGCACGAGGCGTTTGCATACTCGCCAAAGGGGAAATGGCTACCGACGGTCCAATGGGAAGGATATCGTCGGGGAATTGCGACTTTTCGTCTTATTCGCCGGCTTCACCATGTTGATGAGAGCCAGCACTTGTTGCGCGAGGCGTCCCAAAATCGTCATCACACAATCATACTTGCGCAGGTTTGGCCAATAACACACACGTTGCTTTGTGTCGTGGATTTTCTTAGACCGGGCACTCAGAGTCATGGATGTAGAGGTGAGGCCAAACTCATACGAGTCCACGTCTAAGTCGCTTCTCCGGGACAAGGCCTGACGGAGATCTCCGCAGGCTCTCCGGCTTTCGGTTGTATATACCCCGGCGACTTGGAGGCACGCCGGCCGACTGGTTTGTAGGAGGAAGTCATCTTGGTGAACAGCTGGGGGCGCCAACCGCGTATCGAAAGCAAGTTGAGTCAAGGGTTGTAACTTGTAAGTGGCCAAGGATACTCGTATCCAAGTGCGTTTGCGAGCCCCGGTCTAGTCGTGTGAAAACGTGTGAGTTTCTCATATGTAAGGGACCAGGCAAGACCTGTATACCGGCAGTCTCGAAACACATCATCTCCCAACGCGAGATTCCTCCAAATGCCGTAGTATGCAGCCACAACAGGCCCCTCGGAGATGTCATTCATGCAATCCAGAATCGCAAAAACTGTAGGAATAACGTATCCTGCGCATCCTGATCCTCAACCGCCAATCCTCGCTGATCGTCCATAAGCTGGGGTATCCCATTGCATAGGCGGCGTACACACTTGGCCGAGTCGCGCCGGACAAAGAGCCGAACAGCGTTGCGAGTGTCGTAAGCAGTTGAAAACAAATGATGGATCGGCATATCCATGTATAGCGCCAATAGATGTGGCCTGTCGTGTTGATTCGGCTTGTAAGTTATTGAACATGTGGAACTCGGAATATCTGAGCTTATGATTTCTCAGGATGTACGTACTATTTCGCCTCTGGGGCGAAACTTGAAAGCTAGACTAGGTTCCTCCGTACATGTTGCCGTATTGACAGTCCCGAATGCCTCCCTGACGCCTTCTGTCATCATGTTGATTTTCCTGCACGGTGTTATTTGGACAACCCACCCATCTGACGGTTTGATTCCAGGGGGGCTGTGGATTTCTACAGACATTTCCTGGCTTGTTTGCTTATTTTTGGTACTTTGCACCAAAAGTATAACTTGGTGACGGCGGCTTCGGGTCAGGGGAAGATATGCAGGCATGTTGTTCAAGTACACTGATGCTCTGGCGCAAAACATCTTGGCCAATCACACTCCAACGTCACAAAACTATCTGTATGCCTGGTCAGATACATTTGGCTTACTGCATACTCTTATTCCCACGAGTCGGGTAGGAAAGCGAGGAGCAAGCCGGAAGTAGTCACTACATGGACATGGCGTCCAAAGCACTTATAGGAGACATCTGCGAGCACTCTCGAGTATCCTCCTTGAATGATCAATTCTCCCATTTTTACTGGCACTACTTCACAGAATCGAGCCGAAAATACAAAACATGCATTTTCAAAGCCCGTGGTTAAAAGTGTTTTCTCTCCACTGAATTCCCGTCTCTGGTGAGCCGAACGGGGACTTCATCGTGGCCTTGGGAAGAGGCCACCTGTTCCATCTTGATCAAATAAATAGCTCTGAGCCAAGCCGTTCTCACCATATCTTTCTGAGATTGGGAAAATTGAGCTTCAGTTCTGCTCCACCACTTTTGGCGTGAAGCTGCCCCGGTCTTACTGGACAACCCCAACTTCTCGCCATGTCTTGAATTGGAAACAAGAACACCCCAGCCTACGACTTGAAGATGAAAGCTTCATGGCAAAAGTCTTCAGTTGAAACTTGCAAAAAAAAAAAACAGTCATGGCCAAGTCCAGCAACAGGGACATCTTGGCCGGCCGCTTAACGAGGAGCCATGTTTCTCCGTCCACAATACGATATGCAACGAGAACGATGCCTGTTTCTAAAAACTGAAGCAGAAACCTGGAGTCAGACTAGTACTAATCAAGGCAAATTGCTTCTGTGGAGAGCAGGGCTGACAGGCGTCGGGATGCCATTCCGCCAGATGGCACCTAACAAGAACAAGCCCATCCGATTCCCAACAAATCCACATCGTCACCACACTCAAATGGCATCTTTTACCGATCATCATCATGCTCCCGCCTATCAGTCCCAAGATCAAAAGCCCCCCGGGCGACCAAAACTCAAGGATGAAAGACGACAACGACAAGCCCGGCGCAACCACAGCCAATCTGCAAGGTCGCGGAAATTACAACATTGAAGCTCCAGGGAAAAGCTTATTACATGACCAGGGGTCTCTTCAGCAATTGTCCATCTAGACCAACGACGGCCCTGCAAGTTCCGCAATTCCCGCCATCTCAGGCACTAGCTCAAGCCCGTGGCTGACCTGGGCTGAACAAGGCTGCTTTTCCCTCCCGCAGCGAACCTCCCCTCGATATCAAAGAGAGAGCGGCTGAAGTCGCATTTTTACCGAGCACAAGGCCAGAGGATACGAGCACACAGGATGGAGAATGGAGAGCCCGTGGTTTTCCTGTCCACAGCCGTGGTCAGTCCTGCTGCGTCGGGAGAAACTGCAAGAGTCGCGACGTGCATCAGATAAACAGGAAAAGGGAGCCGTCCACCAACCTCATCATCAACATCCTCTTGTTCGGTTTCTTCTCACCGGGAGCACATTACAGACTCCCTCGTCACTACTTTCAGATCTACATTCCGTCGCGGCAACCGTCCCGTTGGTCGGCCTACACAAAAGTCGGGCGATACCACGCGCAAAAAGCAGGCACGAGGAGGCATGATCACCGCAGGCTTCGTCGCCATTGCCCTCGCCGGGCTGGCCTCGCTCGCCGAAAACGCGGCCCCCTTCCAGGCCCCCGACACCTACTCTCTAAACGGCGCCGGCCTGGCCAACGGCTTCGACGGACTCGCCGCCCGCGACGACGAGTGCCTCGCCAGCCAGGTCGCTTGCGGGACGGGCTTCTGTATGCCCCGGGGAGGATCCTGCTGCGACAGGGTCAGAGGGACGTACTGCGACGTCGGGTTCTACTGCTACCCGCAGGGCTGCTGCCCCAGCGGCAAGGTCTGTCGCGGCAGTCCCACGGACGGGTGCGCGTCGGGGAAGCAAGAGTGCGGGAGTGTCTGCATCGCCGGCTCCAGCGTCTGCTGCAACCCGGGAGCCAGCTCCGGCAATGTCTGGTGCGAGTACCCGAAGACCTGCGGTGCCGGCGGCAAGTGTGTCGGCAGGGCACTGGTGACGAGCGCCTCGGCCGTGCCGTCGTCCACTCTGCCTTCCTTGGGGATCGCCGATGCCACTGAGACTGGGGGCAGTTCGACCAAGGCAACCGGTGACAGTGGCGACGGCGGCAGCAGCAGCAACGACAATAGCAGCAGCAAGGGCGATAAGAAGACCCCCGTGGGAGCCATTGTCGGCGGCGTTGTCGGTGGTGTTGCCGCCATTGCCTTGGTTGGCGTCGGAATCCTGCTCCTCCTCCGTCACAAGCGGAAGCAGAAGGATGCTGCGCCGAGCCAGAACATGCAGCCTCCTCCTCATCAGCCTCTCATGCAGCAATACCCTCCCCAGACCTCGCCTTACGCGGCAAACATCTCTCCTGCCCAGGGAATGGGATACCCTCCTGCCCCCCCGGGCTCTCCTCCTCCTCCTCAAGGATACTACAACGCTTCTCCGCCGCCGGGGCAATACTCTCCTTCAATGGCTACTGGCCAAGTCAGCTCGCCAACCGGTACATACTCAACTTCAACTGATCCTCGAACTGGCGCTCCCACCGTCAGCCCAGTTGGGTTTGCGACTGTCAGTGCTACGCCTCCTCCTCCTCCTCCCGCCAGCCAGGGACGCAATGGCAATGAGAAGCCCGTTGTTTACGAAATGTCTGCAAAGCCGGGCGACGACCACCGCGGCAATATCCACGAGCTTGCTTAAGCGCATCGACACTAAAAGAGGACAGGGGGACGGACCATCTAAAGTCAGATAATAGGGCACTGCTATGGCGTTGAGGCGCTTTGTTGTGTGTTGTATTTATTGGCATGGAGCATTTACTAGAATGAGGTAGGAGCGCATTTCATGCTGATGTTGAATGGCCAATTTTCTGGCAATTTTGTAGTATAATACATAAATAACTCATGAGCATATTAAACACATGCCGTCATATCTACTCGGATACTACCATGGGTCTGCATCCACAGCAAGATGCCAAGTGTCGATTCGTTAGGGCAGTCGTAATTAAACCAGCTGATTGAATAGAGTATATTGCACATGTCGTGATGCTTCCAAATGGTATCCTCCTTGATTCATTACGTCATCTGCGTGCTTACTCGCTATCGCTATCTCCAAATATTGCTTTCAACACATCAGCATTAGCTGCTTCCCCTTCGACAGCATCATTCTTCTCTGGATTCACCTCCACCGGTTGCTGTACTGGCGTTACAGCCCCTGATGACGTCGGTGCTTCCACAGCCGGAGGTGCTGAAACAGAAACATTCAAATCAGACGTAGACCATTGCGTTGGCATCGCCCGACTATCGCTCCTCTTTGGCGTCGATGAGGTATTATCTGATTCGCGATCCGGTGCAACATGCGCAGGGGCGCGTACATTGAACCTCTTACAGAGCAGCCTTGTTGGGTAGAAATCTCCCACGGAGCGCGTCATGTGTCCAAACATGCCTAGGACAGCTGCTTCTTCAGCTGCATCTTTACTCTTTGGTTCGGGCTTTGACAGTAAATCTGTCCGCGTCTTGTCATCGCTTCCGTTGCCGTTGTTGGATGATGGATTAAGAACCGTCTTTGATGTAGTGAATCTTGACGCCATGAAACCCGTCATGGGCTTAAAGATCCTGGCGCAGTTGTAGAATTCATTCATTTCTCGAATATAGTCCTCATCTGTCGCTCTCGGCGCTTTATCTGGGAGATCTTGCCCAGGATTCGCCTGAGACATCAAGTACTTTCTGTAGCGGCCACGCTTTGCCTCGTCATCTGCATATGGCCCAGCCGAGCTGCGGGATAGAGCTGCCGCTGCGGTTGATTGGTCCAGTTTGGGAACTTCGTTCCATAATGCCTGGCGTCTATCATCTTCTGACAGTGGGGTGTGACCTTCGGGGAGTTGGCCCAAACCAGGCGGGAGATGCTTATTTCCAGATAGAGCTGCCAGCTTATCTCTTGAGGAGGAAGAAATGAAGTCGAAGACAGACTTGCCCGGGAGGGCAGTCTCACCAAGAAGAGCTGCTCGAGATCTCGGGTCCAAGGTAGATACTTTTGCAGCATCGGCAGTTGAAGTGTATTTAGAAGAATCCCCCATATTCAACGGGTCTTTGGATGACTTCCAACCCTCGGGAACGGGAGGTGGCGCGTATTGTGACAGAGCAGCCGCCAAATCCTCTACGACCTTTGCCAGGACGAACCCATCTAGTGGGAGCCGGCCATCATGACATCGGCGGAGGTTGTGTCCAGCCCTCGCTGTCTTTGATAGAAATACTGGCGCTTTCTTAAGAGACGGGTTCACTGCAGCCGTAGCTTTCTTCTTCTTCTTCTTTTCCCCTCCCATAACGCGATTGTATCTTATCTTGGGTCCCATCTCATACGGGTCTTCTTCATCCGAGCCGGTGTCGTTGAGCACACCAACGCCAAAAGCGCCCCTTTGAGATTTCGCTTCCTTTTTTGTTGCAGAAAACAAAGACGGTCTGCCGTTCTTGTCCAGTGCGTCGTCATCGTCATTATCCTGGTCTGAATCGCCAGTCTTTCCCAGACTTTGCAACCTCGCGCCGCCTTGGTGTCCCAGACCCATTCTATCCGTTTTTCGAACAAATTGTATCATTTGAGCATCGTCGGGAGCAAACAGATACATCTTGTTGTTGTCGGACACAACACCGCTCATTCCCACGTCGAGTCTGGCACCCCGTCGAATCTTGGGTCCAATTCCCTGGCCATCTTTCCAGCCCATTCTGCGTAACAGCTGTAGTCCCTTTGTGTCTCCGGATGATTTGAATAGCCCCATAAGCCCGCCAGCGCGCATTTCATCCGGGGTGGACGATCCCAGCCCTGCAAAGGCTTGCGAAGTTTGGAGTTGCTGTGCTTCCGCTGCATCCTCCAGGTCTTCCTCGTCCATGTACTCCTCGGCTCTTTGTTGGATTGTGGTTGATGCTGTATCATCTTTGCGACGGTTCGAGCGGCTGGAGACAAAGGTAGACGGCGTCCATCCCTCTTTGGAGCCCACAGTATTGAAATAGCTGTGGAATGATGATTAGATTTGGACGTTGAATTACTGCCGCGCTACAGCTCCAATTAGCACGTACCCTGCACTCCAACCGCCCGTAAAGGCACCGTGGAGCCGTCTTCTGCCCTTTTCGTCCCTCACGTCTTGTTTCCACAGAGGCAAATATGAGCCATCGTCGCGCGAGTCGGTTTCGTCGGGCAGAGGCGTGCCAAAAAGAGCGTACGGGGCGTGAAGGTCTGCCTCAAACGTCGACCGAGAGCGCTTGTACGACATAGTGGCTCCGGGGCCATAAAACTTCCATCAGGCTTGTTCGCTATTGTGTCATGACCTTGAAAGTCTGCTTATTAAAAAAGGTGACGATGCGACGGAGCAAAGTTGTTGGACATTTGGATGCGTGTTATCGATAAGCGACAGTGGGCTGCCGGCACTAGTATGTAATTTACTTGCTATTACCCACCGGGGCATCTGGCAGTTGGCAGGTACCTAGCAGATACCTCGTGGGTTGGACAGACTGGTAATGTCCCCTGGTGAGCGGGCATGTTGAAACAGTGAGACTATAATATTAATGGTAGTGTCTACAAAGTAGGCCGGTGTTGGTCAGAAGGATTTTGTCACAAAATCTGGCCCAATGATTTTTTTTTTGATTGGGCAAGGACACGTCGAAGCATATACGCCATAATTATCCACGGGTCAAACACACGAGGCTGGTCTGATCCATTCATCTCCATCCACCTCGCCTCACACGGCGACATGATGCGTCTAATGCATGACACAAAGGTCCAGGGAAGTTCAGCTGGTGTGTGGAGGCGAGGCCTCTCATTGCCGACTGGACAGTAGTACTACTACTCCGTACTACGTACTAGTAGTAGTAATTGGCATTAGATGCCAAGACCCGGAGATACGACTTTGTCGACGTGCCGCTCCAGTGTTGCATTCAGGGGCATTCCAACAAGCGGCGACTGGGCTGGTTGTACGATGACGCAAGGGCTTTCGTGTACAAACTTGACTTGGCGAAAACCTTGACTTCGGTCAATGTCTCTGCGAGGCCATGATAGCATCGTCATGTAGTTGTTGATTCCATGTACATACGCATGCATCTTGCACTCCATGGCACTTGGACTGCTTATACTAGTATCAAATGAACCAGACTTAATCCGTCGAGCAGTCAAGGACGCGGTGCTTGGACTGGGTACGGGGTGGGTACGGGTCCTGGCGACTGGGAGTCGTTAATCAGCAATTTCATCTTGTCAGTCGGTGCCGAGGACCAGGGCTGGGTGCCAATTTGTCGAACAAAGCAAGGAGGACATGGCGGCCCCCAACGACCAAGCATCATCAGACGTTTGCACATGTAGCATCCCCAATCCAGCCAATGTCCAACCGTCGACGCGGGACAAAGAAGGAAAAAGGAGAGAAAGAGAAAAAGAAAGAAGCAAGAAACAAGAAGCAAGAGAAGAGCGATTGGCTGGTTGGCTGGGCCGGGCACGAGTGCGTCCATGATCCATTCAATGCTGCGTTTGCCCACATGCTCTGTGCTTCACGAGAGCAAGAGCCAATGTCGCCGCCCCTGGTGTCGTCGGTTGCGCAGCATAGACCAGTTGGCCGTGATTGAACAAAGGCCGTTGATGGTCTTTAGTATCGCGTCTTGTCTTGTGTGCTCCATATTCGCTCTTCTTTTTCCAGCTCTGACATGTCGTGGTCGGCTATTTGATATTCCCGCTACCCAGCATTTCGAGGTCGCTGCTCTGTAATCTTGTCTGACCAGGACCCCGGGCAGTGCCTCAACCTATCCCACGGTCGGCAGCTGATGCCTGCATCGATTTACCAACACGGCCAATTCAAGATGCCCAGGTCCTGGGAGGTCTTGTCAATCAAGGCGCACATCGGCAGACCACGCCAGATCCGACGGCCCGTCGAGTGTCGACACTGATGGACAATACGTTACACTGTGAATACATCAAGTCAATACGTTGCACACACGGCCAGACAAAGCCTAGGACGGATCAAGCCACCGGACTGTCCCAAACAGCTCTGGAGCTCGTCTGTGTGGCCGCGATTAGCACATGCATCAATTAATGCACTGCGCGCCCGGGTGCCGTTATTTTGGAGACACAGCAGCGCCCCCCTGTGCGCATCGCTCGCGCCTTGAATCGTACGGCACATTGAGTTTGGCACCGTTGGCCGAGAGAAATCTAGATCTCGGCAGCTGTTTACAGCGTCTTTTTTTTTTTTTTTTCCTGTTCCTTTGTCTGTTGCCCTTTGAAGATTTGTAGTCGCGCTTTCTTTTCTTTTCTTATTTGCTCCTCTGTCGGTCAGTTGCTGTGCTTTTTTTTTTCCCTCTGCTTCATCTTTGGTCCGCCTTGTCACGACATCTGGGCCATTGACGATAGTCGCATCACAAGCAACCAGACTAGACATCACATCGACTTTCCCTGGCTACCAGCGCTTGAGATTACTCGGCACTTCGTACTCCCTGGAGCCGCCCAATTCTGTTGCCCTAGCTGCCATGGCTACACACCATAACCGCTCCGCAGCCTCTCCCTCCGTGTTGTCGTCGTCGTCGTCTCGCAATGCCAATGGAGTGAATGGACTGACCCCATCCCGGTCCCAATCCACCAGGTCCACGTCTGGGCGATCCCAGCATTCAGCACGCTCTTATTCCTCGTCACCAGCAGCAACCGCTTCAGCATCTGCTACTCCTCTTGCTTCTCCTGCTCGCTCCTCTCGACCCCCTCTGTCCGCATCGTCGGGAGCCTCAGCCTTCGCCGCTGCTGCTGCCGGTCCTCGTCTGCCTGCCGCCTGCTCGCTGCCAAAGTCAGCCTCCAGCTCAGACTCCACAGCGGCCAACACTCCCGTCGTCTCCAGGTCCTCGTCCCGGTCCAGGTCCAACTCCAACTCCAACTCCAACGCCAACTCGAGGAGCCACGTTCAAAATCACAGCCAGGATCTCGGTCACGGTCACAGTCAAAGTCAAGCCAAGAACCAGAGCCCGCGTCACAGTCTCCAGCGTGTCCCTACCAACGGCACCAGCCACCAGGGCGCTGCCACTGCTACTACTGCTGCCACTGCCGCTGTTGCTGCCGCCGTTGCTGCCCGCTCCACCGGCTCCCAGCAGCATCTGAGCCATCATCACCCGCAGCAGCATCTCCAACACCAGCGTCATCGCCATCACCGCCACGCGTCCACGTCGTCCACTGCGTCCTCTCGCCCTGTCCAGGATATTCTCCCCCATCATGACTATGAGACTTCACACCTAGCATCCTATTCTCATTCAAAGCGCAGCTCCAGCAGAGATCGCACGTCGCTCCCGTCCACGACAAGGGGCGCTGTCGCCGCCCCCGAGTCCCCTTCCGTCTCCTCATCCCAAGCTGCTGCCCGATCCATAGCTCGCCAGGCCAGCACGCGCTCCTCATCCCAACGACACCATCACCAACCCTATCCCTCGAGCGACATGGCTCCCTCCGCCGTCGCTACCAACAATGGCAGTCCTTCTGCTCCCCCTTCCTCCCATGGCGCCTCCGACCCTCACCATCAGTCACACTCTGCCAGCAAACAGACCCGGTCACGCACTACTATTCCCGCCCAATCGGGGAAATGGATTCTTGGCAAGACAATCGGCGCCGGCAGCATGGGCAAAGTCAAGCTTGCCCGCAAGGAAGATGGCAGCGAACAGGTTCGTCATGACGTCCCCTTCTTTCCATAGTTTCCCATGTTTTCTGTCGATTTCCTCCTCCGTCTGCTCCTCCCCGAATAAATGTTCCTCGGCTGGCTGTCTCGCCTTGTCGTTGGATGCGCCCGTTTGGGCATCCACCAACCGACCCCTCCTCTTTTGTATCGCAATGCTCTGACCGCCTTGTCTTGTCCGCTTTACAGGTTGCTTGCAAAATAGTCCCTCGAGGCTCGACCGAAGAACATCAGAATCGTGCGGACAAGGAGCGAGCCGACCAGTCCAAGGAGATTCGAACCGCCCGCGAGGCTTCTATTGTCTCTCTCCTGAATCATCCCCACATTTGCGGCATGAGAGATTTCGTCCGCACCAACTACCACTGGTACATGCTGTTCGAGTATGTCAATGGCGGCCAGATGCTCGACTACATCATCTCGCACGGCAAGCTCAAGGAAAAACAAGCTCGAAAGTTCAGTCGCCAAATCGCCAGTGCACTAGACTACTGCCACCGAAATAGCATCGTACACCGCGACCTCAAAATCGAAAACATATTAATTAGTAAAACTGGTGATATCAAAATCATTGATTTTGGTCTCAGCAATCTCTTCTCGCCTCGGGGCCACCTCAAGACCTTTTGCGGCAGTCTTTATTTTGCTGCTCCTGAGCTCCTGCAGGCTAGAGCATACACAGGTCCAGAGGTTGATGTATGGAGCTTTGGCATTGTGCTCTACGTCCTCGTCTGTGGTAAGGTGCCATTCGACGACCAGAGCATGCCAGCTCTTCATGCCAAAATTAAGAAGGGTTTAGTAGATTACCCTAGCTGGCTTTCGAGCGGTGAGTGATCAGTTATGCCCCATGCATACCTATGCATATATATGTATATGCGCAAATGTGCCTTGCGGCATGTCCAACAAGGTTGTCAAATTCGCTGACTCTTCCCTAGAATGTAAACACCTCATGTCCCGCATGCTGGTGACCGATCCTAAGCAACGTGCTACAATGCAAGAAGTCATGAACCATCCTTGGATGACAAAGGGCTTCAATGGACCTCCTGACAATTATCTTCCTGTCCGCGAACCACTAGTGCATCCCTTGGATCCGGAAGTTATCCACGGCATGCAAGGATTCAGCTTTGGCTCTCCTGAAACTATACGAGCTCAACTAAGCAAAATGATTGACTCCGAGGACTACCAACATGCTGTCAAGATGTACCAACGAGAACGAGAGGCTCCTCCTCCTGCAAAAGACGCCGAAAAGAAGAGAGGCTTTGGGTTTGATTTCTACAAGAGACGAAATTCTTCCAATAGCAGAGACACTTTGACCGGTCCAAGCAGCGATACCTTGCAGCTAGGACACGATCCTCTCTACGCCTTTAGTCCGCTGCTCTCTATATATTATCTTGTCAAGGAGAAGCACGACCGTGAGGCAGCTCAGCAAGTCCCTATCACGTCAAGCGGCTCACATGAGAAAGAAAAAGAGAGGGAGAGGGAGAGAACTCGGGAGCGGGAGCGGGAAAGGGAGAGGGAGAGGGAGAATGAAAGGGATCGAGATCATCGAGATCGAGATTATCGAGAACGTGAAAAGGGTGCCGACACTATGCCAGAGCTTGCGCCTCCTCAGGCTGCTCATACCAATGCAACTACATATGAGATGCCTGGCGAAAGGCCCACTGGGGGACGGACAAGGCCCCGTGCCCGCACTCATGGCGAAGACGATGCACCAGAGTCAGCGAGACCGCATGGGCATCCACCACCTCCTCCTGCGCCGGAAACCAAGGTCGAACAGCTGCAAAAGAAAGAAGGCACTGCAGCGGGACTGCTTCGAAGGTTCAGCACTCGGAAGCGCCGAGAACCCGAGAGACTGGACAAGGATCGTTCTCATCCTCCCATGGTGCAAGTTCACTCTCCGTCTGATCCAGCACCATCACCCGCCACTCCCAAGAAGAGCTTCAGCATTCGCCGCGGTAGGCGGGACCGTGATGAACCACCAGTCCCGCCGATTCGATCAGGAAGCAGCCAACCTCAGCACAGTGCGCTACTCAGCCCCCCATTGTCCGCTCATGGCACGAGGGACAGCCGAAGATCAGGTTTAGGACGCTCTACTAGTGTTAATTCAGCGGAAATGCGTCGTCGCCAGGGCGGCAGATTACCCAAGGAGGCCGCCGCTACCAGTGGCTCTGAACAGTCTGTGTCAAATGATCAATCAGGGACGTCTCAGAGAGCCCACGCTCACTCCAGATCGGCTTCAATGCGGACTAAATCATTGGGACATGCCCGCCGAGAGAGCATACAACGTCGTCGCTTGAGACGCGAAGGACTTCAGGAAGCTGACGTGCCTGAGGAGACGGACTATGAACCAGATCAAAGTGGCGTATCCACAGATCGACTTGACAGCGCTGAATTGGCCAAGCCAGTGTTCCTGAAGGGTTTATTCAGTGTATCAACAACCTCTGGCAAATCCGTACCGGCAATCCGAACAGATATTAAGCGCGTTCTCAAACAATTGAATGTTGAATTCACAGAGATCAAAGGGGGCTTTTCCTGCCGACACACGCCAAGCATCGATTTGAACAAGGTGCATGACCATCCCACCAGCCCTGGTCAAACTCCAGGCCACCGACGTCGCTTCAGCTTCGGTGGCTTGATGCGAAACGATGATCGAGAAGAGATTCGAGAGCTGGACCGAGAACAACGCCAACCACCGACTCCTCGAACTCCCGGTCGACCAGACCGTGATCGACCAGAGAGAGAGAGAGACCGCTCTGATCGGGATCGTTCTGATCGCGACCGCAGCTACTCCAACTCGGAGACGTCGGTGGATAGCATCCCTCGACGGAATGGCGGCACTACGAGGCGAGCACCAGGCGAAACGAGCACCCAAGTCCAAAGTGACCTTGGCGAGAGCATGGTCCTAGAATTTGAAATCTTCATTGTCAAAGTACCTCTCCTGTCACTGCACGGAATCCAATTCAAGCGGATGACAGGCAACACGTGGCAGTTCAAGAACATGGCAGACCAGATACTACGAGACCTGCGGCTCTAGATCCTCCAAAGTCGCCTCCCGAAGTGAGAAGTGCTATCTTCTGATTGAGACCATCATGTCACACCATTCGGGCGTTTATTGATTTGGGGGGGGTTTGCAAGTCTGCTGAGCACACAAATCACTGTTTTGTTATGTTGCTTCTCACGGCTTGATAGCAGGACGAGTGAAGACGGTGAGCCGATGAGTAGTGGCTTGGGTACCAGACACAGGTTCTATTTTCTTTGGGCCATGACAGCGTGGTGCCGGGCCGTAAAACCATCCACAAACAACAATACAAGCATCGTGTTTGTATAAGGGCATATTGAGCGTTTCAAACAATTCATTCATTGTGTAATATTCTTTACTCCCCTCCTCCTCCTCCTCCTTCTCCGTTGAATGGTAGGATTCTGAGAGCACTCTAGACAACATTTGGAGTGAGAGCATATTTTTGGCCCTAGAGCTAGACGGGTTCTAGGGTGGGATTTTTTGGTTGCGGGTTTTATTCAGATAGCATATATGGTAGTTAAATAGGAGAGGCAGATACATAAGTAATGACACAGCAGTTGATTGGGTGCTGGTATGAGCTTGTGTCCCGGCTTGATGTGCCTCCATATGCATATATGTGATGGGTAAGTAGGTTGAACGGCGGTTCGTTGCCCGGCTCGGGGTTCAGCGGAGGTTGTCAACGACATTGGCTGGGAAACCTGGACCAGACTACATGGCCCAGCGCACAAGGGGAAATGGTGGGACAGCATCAATTGATGGATGATGCAAGACGTGAACTTTCTCGAGCCCGGGCCAAAGTAGTGCGTACTAGTCCAAAGTACAGGGTAGCCTGGCGAGTTCTACGCGGTGGATAGCCTGCTCCGAAGTCCCTCGACGACTCACAAGTCTCCATCATGCATTTTGGTGTTGGACTCTTGACCGGTCGCAGCACAAGACGGCCCCAGCATGCTCGTGCTGTCAGAACCTCAGAATGCACGGCCTGCATTGGGCTGCGTCAGGCTGAGGAACATGGCGAGGCTGAGCAAGATTTCCCCAGATCTGACTGTTGATTGGCCAGGGACGGCAGTTCTTCCTGATCCGTGCGCGGGAGGGCAGGTTGTCGTCGCCCTCGGGCAGGCGCCAGGCAGGAACGGCGGCTTTGGCTCGTGGCTTGTGCTGCTCAATCGGCTCGGCCATGAAGCGGAGCCTCAACCAGGTCAAAAGACTCAAGGCGGTGGAGCGGGCGCAGTCCGAGCACGAAGACACCACCACATCACGGCAACCCTTCAACAACCACGACGTCTCCAAGCCTGCCAAGCCTATTGTCGCATCTGCATTCGCATAGCGAGTCGTTCCTCTTCTTCCCTTTCAACTATTTCTGTGTCTCCCCACTGTGCAACCTGTTGCACGACCCAGACGCGCATTGAGCTGCCCTCGCCCTCTTGCTGGTCTCAGCAAATAGCTCTCTCGCCCTTCCGTCCACAACACACAAACCTGTCTGCGTGAGACCAGCGGGATCGTCTTGAACGACACCTTTTCCGAGCCTCTGCCAAGTCGCTGCAAGCGCCATCATATCTCTGGTGCCGCAGTAAGCTCTGCCCCCCCGGAGCTTCCTGACCCGATAACTCTACGCGCGATATCCGGCATTTTTTTCCGACCCCATTCCGAAGCGAGAGATTGAATTTGAAAAGATATACCCGTCTCAACCTCGCCCTCTTGCCCAAGATGATGTCTTCGACGCACATTTATACGCACCCCCAATACAATCCACAAGGCGACTCTAGCTGGATGCACCAGCAGGCGTCGCACCACCAGCAGAACCATGTGTCTGTTGCTCAACAACAACAACAACAACAACAACAACAACAACAACAACAACAGCAGCAGCAGCAGCAGCAGCAGCAACAACAACAGCAACAGCAACAACAGGTTCAGCAACAGCAATCGCACTTCAACCGCATGACTGGTAATCATTCTGCCGGTGGCACTGGTGGCAATATGGGAGGCGCTCATGCCCAGGATTCCGGCCATGAGAACATCTCGGAGGATAATCGGCGCACGATGGCGTACATTGCCGATTTATTAAACGAGAACACGAGGGAGGCAGCTTTGCTAGAGCTGAGCAAGAAGAGAGAACAGGTGCCTGAACTAGCTCTGATTTTGTGGCACTCATTCGGTGAGCATTTGTCCAAGGCTGAAATGACGGATGCCCGTGAGTCGAAAATGATAGTTCAAGCTAACGAATTTGGTTGTTTTAGGGGTTATGACCTCTCTTTTACAGGAAATAATTTCCGTCTACACGCTTCTCAACCCTTCGCAGCTCACAGCTGCTGCGTCAAACCGCGTTTGCAACGCCTTGGCACTACTCCAGTGTGTTGCGTCGCATAATGATACCCGGACCTTGTTTCTTAACGGTCAGTCCACGGCTTCCAGGAGGGCCACAGTGTTGAATAATGAAGCTGACAAGGCGGACTGTAGCGCATATCCCTCTGTTCTTGTACCCATTTCTAAACACGACATCCAAGTCCCGACCGTTTGAATACCTGCGACTAACCTCCCTGGGTGTTATTGGTGCGTTGGTGAAGAACGACTCTTCGGACGTTATCAATTTTCTCCTCACAACGGAGATTATTCCTCTGTGCCTTCGGATCATGGAGACTGGCTCAGAGCTTAGTAAGACTGTTGCCATATTTATTGTTCAGAAGATTCTGCTGGACGATAACGGCCTCAATTATATCTGCGCCACCTACGAGCGCTTCTATGCTGTAGGCACTGTGCTGAGCAACATGGTCGCTCAGCTTGTCGAGTCCCAGACTGCACGGCTCCTCAAACACGTGGTCCGATGCTTTCTTAGGTGAGTGACGAACAAATGACCAGTATTTCACAAAGTGCTGTTGACTAAGTGTGGCGCGAATGTAGACTTAGCGACAACGCCCGAGCTCGTGAGGCTCTTCGCCAATGCCTACCAGAACCTCTGCGAGATGCTACCTTCTCGTCTGTTTTAAGAGATGACGCTGCAACTAAGAGATGCCTTGCTCAGCTCCTTATCAATTTGTCTGACAACGTCGTGGACAACTCGCAAGGCGTTTCCAACATGTGAAGGACGAGTCAAGATGAGATTGAACTGAAAGAAAAGCACGTCGAGTTGAAAAAAAAATGCACAAAGATATCTTTCATGAGGCATTTGTAACACAAGAAACGACCAATCTGCATTTGTCACGGCGAATTTCAGGGAAGGCAGGTTTTTTTTTACCGAGATCCATGGGCGAATGAGTGGTTTTCTTCGCTGGTATTATATATTTGGAGCATTTGCACAAGAGAGACTTGTGTCATGCAAGAAAACAAAAGGACGTCACAGGAGAAAAGCATGTGGCATTGTTTATACGCATTGACTGCCATTACTTTCATGGTATAATTGGTGCTTCTTTCCGCCAAGGAGAGGTTGCTTGCAAGGAACTAGGATTACGTGGCACTTGAGAACGCTTTTTGCAGGCCTCCGGGCAACTTTCGGTTTGGCCATGATTTTATGGAATTGGAGTCGTGGTTTGAACGTGTATAATGGGCAAACTCTGGGTGGTAAAGGGCAGTTATCAGAGTACGAGCCGAGCAATTTGACTGTGGTTTTCGTGCCACGGCTTGTTCCATTCGTCTCTTCTACATGGTGCTGAGAATACGGCTTATTTTTATGGAAAGGGCGGAGGACGGAGTTTTGGGCGTTTGGAAGGAGGATAAGGGGGACATTTGGGCTTGCGCCTGGTGTTTTTTGCTCTCCATTCAGGCATCTATCAGAGGATACGGGTCGGACACGAGTAGCAAGCAATTGTGGATTGCGACGGGCATTGTGTATATTCAAGTTAGGCTTGACGGAATGTATTTGTATTTGCACCCGCAATGGAGAGTAGTAGATGAGTAGCCGTCTCGAGTGTTGGCGTATACATTGTGACTGAAGAACAAGACTGTCCAGCTACCGTCTGTCATGGGAATATGTTCCCACGTCCGGCACGAGGAAGCGCAGCCAACGAGACACGCACGCACGAATCTATGCTTTGCGCACCACACATGACCTCTCGTGGCTCGCTGCAAAGAAGCTCGCTTTGGACCATGTCACGATGGGGAAACTCTCCCGTCCGTCCCACGTCTCACCAGGAGCACCGAGCAGCTGCTTCCAGCTATCCTGGATTACCCATCCGACTTTAGGTAGGCATGTATGTACGAGGTACGCATCCAGAGCCCCGAAGGCAAGCATCTACAGCGGGCTACATACAAACCGGGTTATCAGTCGAAAACGAGTTGACGTCTGGCGGCTCGCATTCCAAAAGTCAAAAGTCCTGCGTCAGCGGCCGCACCGCCGCCCCACGAAACAGTGAAATCCTCCGTTTCACATTCTGTGCGTTTGCCCCCCCGCGGCGGCCTTCTTCTTCGTGTCTCTGCCGAGTTGCCATGCCCGGACGGACGTGGACTTCGCCGCGTGGTGTTTGAAACTGGAAACAGTCTGGTCCTAGGCCCCCCCCCCCCTTCCCCATGTGGCGGGCGAATTGTAGGTTTTCCTGCCGCTTTTTGACGTGAGATTCCCCCCCTCCCATGTGTACAAAACGTGGTAGTATAATAACCTTCTTACTCATACGACCAGAGATACTTTGCACGCCCCCCCATCAGCCCTGTGGCCACGATGTGACCGGGATTCTACGAGTTCTAGACTTGTCAAGAAATGCCAAAACGTCTGGGGGTTCCCTCGCCGGCGTCTCGGTCATCTGCCGCTCAACCGTCCCCAGTGCTACGCCTGCCTGCCTATAGGGAACGAGGCAGGGGGAAAGTTAGCTTTTGCGTCAGAAAGCTTAGGGCATCGTGCCATTCGACTACGTACGCGGCATCCACGCAAGTCTACTTTGATGAATCCGGCCTTGGGCGAACCAAACAGATTGTTCTTCATTATACAACACCGTAACCTACTACCATCTATGTATGTATGTACTACTTGAAAAAGGTTCCCCTTGTAAACTTGAGTGTGGGGAGGGGGCGGACGCCCCGTTGGTCACGATGGCTAATGATTCGTCATCAATGTTACCATTTCTTCATGGCGACGAATAAACATAGCCGTATTGCTTCTTGGCCTCATCAACCAATTGCTTGAGCTGCTTTGCCTGTTCGGCAGCCTCGCCTACTTGGGGCGTGAGGGCTGAGGACGCCGGTGCAGAGGGAACCTGGAAGCCCCTCTGTACCGCGGGACGCTCCCAGCAACGTGCCAGCCATGCCTTGATGGACGGGAACTGGTCAATGGAAATGGTTGTGCCTCGGACGGCGTTGACCCACCCCAAGAGAGCAATGTCGGCGATGCTATACTTGCCCCGTCCCGGACCTACGACGAAGTCCCGGTCCTTGAGGCGAGCGTCGAGGATGCCGTACAGCCGTTCCGTTTCACCAACATAGCGCTGCATTCCGTAGGCAATCTTCTCCTTGGCGGCTCGTACAAAGTGGTTGGCTTGCCCCTGCATGGGACCCAGGCCACCGTGCTGCCAGCCTATCCAAGACTCTGCGCGTGTATAGTCATCATCGTCTGGGGCAAACGAGAAGAGTCTCTCCGTATCATATCGGCGAGACAGGTACGACAAGATTGCATTGCCCTCAAAAACAGCCAAGTCGCCGTGGTCATGGTCGACAATGGCGGGAATGCGACCATTCGGGTTAATGGCCGTGAACCACGGCTCCTTTTGAATATTCTGGCCGATGTTGATACCCTGGGATGTATACTGAAGCCCATAGGCCTCCTTCAACTCTTCAAGGAGGATGCTAGCCTTGTATCCGTTGGGAGTGCCTACACGTGGTCGGGGTGGACAAAGTCAGCACTCTGAACATCTCAAATGTGAGGGGTGAAGGCGAAATTCCTATTGCTCCTCCAACTCTTGGACGCCACCATCCTACATGTCTTATGTGTGTGTGTGAAAGCATCCTAGAGGCTGACGGGGGTTTCCTCCTCCCTGTGCCTCGCCTGCCTCATCTGCACTTGCTGTGGGGGACACGGGAATACAAGATAGGAATGGAGAAGTTCGTTACGGAGTACTCCGTACTAGCTCTACGAAGCGCCAAACTTGAGATCCCACAGGGAGTGAGTGGCAGCTCATCTCGCTCGTCGTTGAGCGACAGCCGGAAGCGAGACCCCGTCGGCCTGTTTGTTGGCTCTAGTTGCTCTTGCATGCATAGCCACGAGGAAGCCAGAGCCAACAGATCCAAGGCGCATGGGACGTAGGAATGGGGGCTGCCAGGCGGTTTCATCGGCCGACTTTCAAGAAGCTAATGGCCACAGGGTCTCTTTGTCAAAGGGGGAAAGGGGACCCAAGGGGGCAACAGCCGAGCGAAATCGACAAGGCTCGCGATGCATGATGCTGTGGCGAAAGCAGACAGTCTAAACTCTGATGCCCGTGCCAAACAAGCGAAAAGACGCGAGCGCAGATCCCATTTTGCAGGGTGCGCCATTCACAAGAGCTGCCTCGTGCAATTTGCACAGCAATGCCCGCCCTTGAGCTGAAGCAAACGAGGCGAAATGGCGGACATGAAAAGAGAGGGGTGTGTAGGTGGCCCAAGACTATTCCTGTCCATGTCATGTGCGTGGTGTTGGAGTCGGTGGGCCAGGATGCATGTAAGAGGTGCCATGTTGGGCAAAATGGGCCGCCAGAGAACAGGGTGAAAATAAAAATAACCAACGCAAGGACAATGCTACAGGAATGACGTACTCCAGGTGAGTAATTCAATGCCCTTGGAGGCAATGAGACCAGTTGGGCGTGCCATATTATTATTATGGGGGGGCGCTGATGATGCTGCTGGCGGTGCTGGCGGCTGCCACAAAAGTCGTCCGAGTCACTGGCTTGTCGTCGTTCTATTAGTTGGCCTGGTCAGAGCGATATCCGAATCGAGGCACTCGCAGGACAGCAGGGTTGATGCGTGGGTCGTTGGCCGAAGGATTCGAGCGATCGATAAGTAGACGGTGCTGTGTGCGAGGTGGATTTGACAGCGATTTTTGGGAATTGGCGGCAGTGGTGGCTGAGACACAAGATAATCGTGAGCGCGATTGAGTGTCCGAGGAGAACAGAACCGCAGCAGCTATATATCAAAGCAAGCAATGGCGACGAGAGCAATGTTTGGGCTGCAATCTGCTGCAATTGACGTCTCAGCCGTGAATTGGTTTCTTTTGCAATCGCGTCATGGGAAGATTCATCAGCAACCGACGGCAGTTGATTTGTCACCAGGCAATGACGCCATTGGCTCCTTCCCTCCCGAGGGCCAATCCTGTTTGCGCTCCGGATCCGGACATGACGATTGGATGATTTGGATCCCTCTTGTACAGACTCGAGATTGGGCAAAGTTTAATGCCAAAATCACGGCCCTGTGTCCGTTCGAGTCTTCACCTCGTCGGTCGCTGCACATGGCTGGTTGGCCTCTACATTGTTGCCATGAACCAACATCGATCGGTATGCAGGGCATAAATTGAGTTGCTGTCCCACGTTGGTCTCGACTTCGAGAGTCCGCTGCAGGTCTACCGCGGACTTTGCTCCGGTGTCGTGCCCCAAATATCCCGCCATGGCATATCTGCAGTAGTACGGAGTACGGACAGCCTGCGACCGGGCCGCACACCAATAGAGTAGGCAGAATCAACAGACAAATGAAAACCCACAAACATAAATCAGGGTCACCTGTGGTTCGCCTGCGCCATCATGCCGTCTTCTCTTATTTCTCCTGGTCCTTGCGTCTGGGGTCTCCTCTATCCGTTCATGAAAATCGCGTGTAATTTACTCCGTACCGCACATATGTATCCATTCGTTTATGAAGATAGCGCGCACTCTGTTTGGTTCCCATCATGTCAAGCCTCCGGCATGCGACCAAATGGGTGGCAGCAACATTTTTCAAAGCCTTTGCGCCGCGCAATACCCCTGACAACGCTGCAAGATGGCTGCTGTGCACCCTCAATCCAAGCCTAGCGCCGAAAAACGTGGTTCGAGAAGGCTTCTGTTGCTGCATACGTACATACATGCATACGTACATGCAGCGTCTGACAAGAAACAGGCTTGAGGCGCACGGCAGATTATGTCATGAGTGCCGTCGAGTTTACCAGCGCAAGCGAGGACGGGCAAGTCAGTTTGCGTGCCTCTTCCTTCGTGTGAGACCAGTAATACTCCGTACTACCGCAGTCTTGTCACTTGTGCATAGCCGCTTCGAGCTTTTACCATGTACATACACATCGCATCCATCTGATGCTGGCCGAGATGCTAATGAAACCGGTCGCATCCTCCACGTTGAAACGTGGCCAGCGTTGCACTGCAGTGTAGTAGGCGGGGGCCAAAACCCATGGATGACATGTCCAATATTGGTCCTTTTGAAGCATAGCATGTCAAACTGGAGAGGCAGGCACATCGTCTTCGCACGTTGTCTGAGACATTGTTCTGTCATGGCTTTGTAATGGTCCCTTTCCATCTCCGTCCATGCCTGACAGTACTTTGCAAACAGTCCTCGTGCACTTGGATAAATTCCGCCGTGAGGAGTGGTCAAACCGAATATTGACTTTCGTTTCGCCAGGTTGAACCTACTCACCGGCGCGAGTGGGATATTATGCCCCGACTCCAGAATACAAAAGCATGAGGGAAACTGGGACAAACAAACGTCTGGTAACCACAATTGCCGGCCTTCCGAATGATTCCTGTTCTGTCGTAGTATATCCTTTTAGTTGGCTCCTTTGCACGGAGGACGCCGTTGTGTAGCTTCAATGCCGATGTTGCCTTGACGGAATGTAGCCCTACCATGCTTCGAGTCCCTCAAATTGACTTTGTCGGTTGGAAGAGCAAGCGGCACCACCACCATCAGCTGCGCCCAGCCCGCAGGTTACAGCCGGCTCTGGGGAGGCATGGTATTTGTTGTTGCACCCCAGAGATCTGGGAAACTCTGCCGTAAAGAAAGTTCAAGGAGACAACGAATGTGTAAGACTTGTACAGTATTATGAGAGTATGGTCAGATGCCCCAATTGTGACAAATGCTAAAGTTTCTTTCGTCCGGGTTGTCACTCACAAACTCTTGTCTCGGTGTCGCCTCGTGTGCGCCACTTCTGTTGCTCCATTGCCGTCAAATGCTGTGATATGGTTCTGACTCAGCCTGAACCAGCAGAGAATGCTGCTCGGCACGCTTCGGCAGATGCTGTAACAAGCCTTCATCTATTCTTGCCCATGTCAGTCGTCAGACCAGACGCGGCAGCCACTTGGAAACCATCGGGCATCGGCACCATATGGGGATCTCAGCAGTTTTGTTGTATGATGAGCTCAGGCTTCCTACCGGCCGACAAGGTTGAATGAAATATTTCGGACTACAGTTTCCAACAACCAGAAATCTGGCCGTGGCAGAGAATGACAATCAGCTTCAAGGAAACTCGCTTCTGATCTGGCATATCCATTGCTTCATACAGGGACGCTTCTGGCTTCAGAGTCATCGATAACAGGGTAAGTCCCAAGTCCGGATGGTCTACTCCGTACTCCGTACTCCGTTGCGATATCCGAGACAACACGAAAGGGGACCATGGGGGGAGGCGTGCAATTAAACCAACTCTACCTCTCATTGTTGATTGGAGGACGTTGGTGAAGTGGCTGTGGACCTATCCTTGGAGGAGTTGGTCGGCCTTGCAAAGTCAAAGTGCAGGTTCGCCCCGCAACCATGGACAACTATCCGCAAGAGATTTAGAGAGAGTGTGTGCGAAATAGTTGTAAGCATCACTCGCCCGAACCATAGTACATAGAATTTGCAGCACCAAAGCACAGACGTTAGGAGCTTTTTGGCCACATAGTCAAATTGAGTCCGAAGGTCATTTGAACAATGCATCAGGTTCTCTCACCGTTTCGATATTTGCACGTCGACTCTCTACGCAGGGTTCCATGACCGGACTATGGATAGGGAACAGTTATGACAGCGAGGTGTGGACGATGGCCTATCCGCAACAGAGGTGCTGGTCCAATTGAGCGGTTCAGTAGGCAGGGCTTTCGGTGCAGCAGATCTAGATCAGTAGTGTAGTTCCAGAAACCATCTATCGGTCTGAGGCCTCACAGCCTTGTAGACCCAAGCATGTTGGCATTGGGTAGACGGGCTTCAAACAATACTCGCCCCCAGGGCTCCCTTGAGGCAAGGGGATTCGGATCGGGGCTGATATGCATCGCCGTGGCTCTTGAGTGCACTACTATTGTGACGCTCTTTGTACTCCGTACACGCAATTGCACATTCCAGTGGCTGCTCTTGACGCCAAATAATCGGGGGGCGGGCCTCTCCCATGGCCAAACCAGAAGTGAGAGAAAGGTGCTGCCTACATACACGGCGTACGCCACATGTCAACGAGGAGGTGCAGGGATGGCCTCAGAGGCAAGGACCGTGGCCGCTTCCAATGGGCACGTGTGGAATCAATCAGAGGACCGGTGCTGTGAAGAAGCGTGACAACGGACGATAACCGGTAGAGGCGGAACAAAAGGACCAGGCTAGGGGCAACGAGCCGCCTTCGCAAGTTCGCGCCCAACTCAACTCCAAGTCGTCGCGGGATCGGTACTCCGTACAATATAGCACCGCTTGGGCCATTGAAGAGCGAGAGTTGATTGCGCGCGCCGCGTGAGCTAACCCGTGTACGGAGTAGTACTACGTACTCGGGAACTTTCCTCCACGACAACCTACCAGGGTGCCAGGGTCGCCTCGATTTCCCCAATATGGCGAGTTTCTCCATGCCCCCCGCCCCAGCTTGTGCTTTGATGCCACGAGGAACCAGGAGGGTCCCTCGCCTCCACTGAGCGCCTGATGGTACCACAACAGGCAATGAGATAATCAAGCCACTGGCAAGACGTATGTATGTACACTTCGTTGAAAAGGTTTGTGGTGGACCAAAGTCGGAGCCGTCAACCTTGTGAACCTCTGAAGTGTAAGATGCAAGCTCTCGACGGATTTGATCATCGATGGCGGCAGATATCTCCAATCCTCATATCCGACTTCACAAATCTGATGCCTTTCCATGCTGCCACTGCCGTCAAAAGCTGATGTAGCCGTGTGACCCGTGTCATCGCAATGTGCATCATCCCGAAAAGCCAAGGTATGCTGAGTGCTCCGATGGCTGCAATGTGATGGCATTGTACGGAGTAGTAGTAACCACTTGGGCGACAAGCATGGCCGGTTGATCAACTGATCGGTTGCTCCAGGGCACAGAAACACAGACAGAGAGAGCCCCACCGGCTAGCCCAGCATTCGGCCTGGGCAAGAAGATCGTTTCTGCGGTTGTGTTGTGGTGAATCAGACGCCGTTGCATATTGGAGAGACAGGCCAGTTACAACAGGTGCCACGCCTCCCTTAAACTGCATGGCTTCGGCAGCGCGTCGGCGAGACTTGTGAACATTCGAAGCCAGCCGCAGCCACACACGCAGTTGCTCAAGCCAGCGTCCACAATCAATGTCCCCCTCCCGCCTTGTGGCTCCGCTTGTTCAGAAGGTGTTCCGCCAGTTCACCAGCGAAGAGCAACGACACTCACCCAGAAGTGGCGGGGACTGGGCCAAGGCGGCTCTGACACAACCTGCAATGGCACAAGGTACCATAACCATACTCTGTGCCTGGGCGTGGCGTGAGGGTGTCCGATATCAGTCTCGTTTTCTCTCTTTCGCTTGATTTGTAATATGCATATTTGAAATCTTTGCCTGTACGGGTTTCTTTGCCTGTCTCTCTTTCGTCTTGGCTATTGCACTGTTGCGGCACTGTTGTCCGGCCGCGTCCTCGACACATAGCATTTG